TCACACAAAAGTAACTCAATATATTAACAGACTGTCATGAAACCGTCAACAGAAGTCTTAACCAATTACCTTTTGGATGTCATCAAAGATAGGCATGAACACATCTGTATCATAGTTGCTCATTTTGTTTTGAAGAACAGAAGTCAACCTCTCGAATCCCATTCCGGTATCAACATGCTTAGCCGGCAGAGGTTTTAGCGAGCCATCACTTTCTCTGTTGAACTATTTTGAAAATATAAGTAACAGCCCCGTCAGAGAAAACAATTGAGGATATGATAGCAAAGCTAAAAAAGCAAGAACAATCTAGCTAACTGCATAATATAGAGTTTTAGTAACACAATCTATAAAATCATTAAAACAATTGTGATACTCAGATAAAGAGTAGTAAATGGAACTAAACTACAATTGGGACAGAGAGGGTTTGTACCTGAATAAAGACAAGATTCCATATTTCTAAACATGTTGGATCGTCATTGTTAACTAAGGATGCAGCATCGCGATTACCAACACGATCATAATGTATTTCAGTACAAGGTCCACACGGACCTGTGTCACCCATTTCCCAGAAGTTGTCCTGCAGTTTCGTCAAAAGTTATATGAAAGAAAAACAGCATTAAAAAATCATTCGTTTTACATTTGGTACAAGTTTTTGACTGGTAATCATAAACAATGGTTTTTAAAGCCTGCCAATTACCGAAACAAAGGCAACTTAACTGAATTACTTGTGAAGAAACCTTAGGAGAGAGAGAATCAATTAGTGGATTCAAAAACTTTAGGTAAACAGAATAAATTGTATTATCTTCAATAATAATACAAATGAAATCCACTGAAATTTATTTTAATTTTTAAAGATCTAAAAATTAAGTAAAACCTGAATTTGATAAAGTCTTTAACTTTGCAGTAATGCTTTTCACATAACACCGGAAATAATTTTTAAGAAATGAAATGAAATGTTGTTAATTTTTACTCAGTGTTAAAATCGTTTTTCATGGGAGTAATCAAGCAAACATACTTTGCAACCAAAGGGCAGCACACGTCCAGATGGGAGAAACTGCAACCATATATCTCTAGCCTCATTATCAGGTTGAAGGCCAGCTTTCTCATCACCGCCAAAATAGGTAGCGTAAATTCGATCAGTCGGTAGCCCATAGACCTGAGGCATGAAAACAGGGAGCTCTATTCATCAGGTCTCAAAGAAATATACAACCCAACGAAAAGAGAACAAATAACTTTACAAGATTATGAAATACTGTCGCAGGGGAGGGAGCCAATAGTTTACTGAATATGATGCTTTTTTCTTAAATAAAGTAAACAAAGACAAATGTCTCTTTTATGCATGTGTGGGAAGAAAAATATTCTTTGAACCATAGGGTATTGCAAAACAAGATGGCAGTGGTTCTGATTACCTTGGTTAAGAGCTCCCAAGCCCATTCGATAGCTTCCTTCTTGAAATAATCTCCAAAAGACCAGTTACCAAGCATTTCAAAGAAGGTGTGATGGTACGTATCTTTGCCGACATCGTCCAAATCATTATGTTTTCCACCAGCACGAATACACTTTTGGGTGTTACATGCCCGAGTTAGCTTGCTGAGCTCAGTATTTGGATCGGCCGTACCCAAAAATATTGGCTTATACTGGTTCATTCCTTGAAAAACAGAGAAGTTTCAATGTCACTAACTATTCTAGTTGTCGCCAGACATATCAAGAGAAATTAACTTACATAGCTAAGTATCAATAACAGGAAATTTGTGACAGTATATGAATTAAACTGCGACAAAAACTGAATGATTCAAGTCCCAAAGCTTCAAAAGACCAAAGAATACAGAATAAAGCATTCCACTGAACTCATCAACAAGAATCCAATTCTAGATTAACATAAATCAATAGAATCTAAATTCCACATATCAACTTCAGACAAATTTCCAATCTCATCGGGAAAAAACAGATAGAAGGGAAAAACAAATCAAATTTTGGCAATCGAAGTTATCGTACCAGCGTTAGCGAAGAGAAGAGTAGGATCATTATGAGGAACAACGGGGCTTGATGGCCAGAACTTGTGGCCTTTGCCTTTGAAGAAATCGACATAAGTATCCCTGACTCTCCTTGCTGGCCACTGAGTCTCCGATGGTTCGGAACCCGGCATGACTGCGATGGAGGACGACGTCGACGAAGAGGAAGTAAAACGGAATTGAGAGAAAAAAGGGCGGCGGAGATGAGAAGAGTAAAAAACCCTAGACGGAGGTTTGGTTGAAGAAATCAGAAGAAAAGCTGCGTTCACTAATCTCATTCAAACCAATAAAGACCTTTTCTCTCTCTCCCCTCCTATCCTATTTTATTTTCTACCGTTTAATTTATTTAATCCGATTCCTTTTCCGTAGGATATATTATTTTAAGGGATAACATTAAAAAAAGAAAACGAGTAAAAAAGATGTTTGGGTTCTCGTTCGATGTGATAGGTGAAAACTGAACTTGTTACTTGTGAAATGTTTTTACGACTACCATTATGCCTCTGCAGGGACTTAGTATGTTGTATTTAGTATTAATAAAAAAATCACAATTATCAAATTTAGTTATCTATATTCAAATATTTGAACGAGCATTCTTATACATTATCAAATATTTGAACGAACATGGATAATATAAGAATTAACTTAAGTAACAAAACATAATGACTCAATAGAGCTTGGCATAATTACTTGTTATCTAGCTTGTATCCGCTGCTTGTCTCATATTCGGCTTGAAAAAGCAAGTAGTTGCTTCATGCAAGTCGGCAAATTAAATTACTTACAAGTCCAAGTCAAGTAAAAAAAAATTATATATATTTGCCTCGCTACTTATTACTCGCTAAAAATTACATTACATGTTACTTGATACTTGTTTTAAACACTAATGATCAGACCCAGTCCTAAACTAAAACCCAACAAACAAGGGCTTTAGGAGGGGGTATTGGACGAGTGAATTATATAGAATTTAATGGAATGTTAAATTCTAGTGTTATTCAAGTAGGTATTTCATGAATTCTTTTAAATTCTAATGTTATTCAATTTCTTAATTTCTTAATTCTATCAAATGCAAGTGTTATTCAATATTTTGTAGTTTTGGATGAAAACGTTATTTGACAAGAATTTAATAGAATTTCTAGTGTAAAAATGTAAAGAAAAATTCTGAGCTTTTAGGTTGAGAATTGGATAGAAATATATAAATAGGGCTTCAAATGAAATGGCGGATCTGTGATTTGTGAATTTGGGAATCATATTAGGAATTTGTGATTTCTTCATTTGAATTTGGCGTGGATTTGATATGATAGAAATTAGTGTTTGACGTCTCTGGGGGACACGTGGAGACTTTCACCAGAGAATGGTGCAGTTAGCGACTTAGCATCTTGACGGTGGAGGTGGGAGCATCTCCGGGACTGACATCGATACTGTCACCGGAAACTTGGTGCGATAAGGAGACAAAATTATCTTTTGGGAGGATTGAATCAAGGAGTGTAAGAATTATGTGACGAAAGAGAGATGATGATGCCTCCTCTGTTCATGACCAGATTATGAACCCAACCAATAGAGGAAGAAGATGAATAGTATAGATTGGGTAGATGGGTTAGATACAATTGATTTTTGACATTCTCTTTCTATTTTCTTATTAAAAGTTTCGGTTTGTAATTTCTAGCAAATTCTATTAAAATGTTGAAAATTACAATAGGTAGAATTAAATAATTCCTTAAAAATCCGCAGCTTACGTCCTAATTCTATCCAACTGAATTCTATTAAAGTCTTTCATCCAATACCCCCCCCCCCCCCCCCCCCCCCCTTAAACATCAAAATTTTATTAGTGCTTTGGGAGCATCAAAATCATTGAAGTTTTATTTAGTACACCAGTTTAAGTCAGCTAACTTGTGTCTTACAGAAGAAACATGGTTTTGGTATTGGATATTATCACTTTCTCTTGTCAGCCATAAACGATCAGATGCACATACCTTTACAACTTTGAAGCAATTTTCTCCATTTGCTCCAGAATAAATACATGTGAAACCTATAAATTTTGAATCACTTAATAAGTAAAAATCGATCAAAGAGATAGATCAAAATATCGATAAGGAATATCCAGAAAATAGTTTGTCGTTGAATATATCTGCATTTGTATGCGCTTGCTAGTATGTTAATTATCTTCAGTTGCTAATCCCGTCTGAGTCTATTTTCGATCTAAATTTGAGCAAAATAGTATCTCGAACGAAGAAGAAAAAGAAACTAATTAATCATTTATGTGTTTATGTGATGGAAACAAAATTATTCTTAGTGAATCCTTATATTAAGAGATTTGGAATAAGATGCAGTTTGTTTTTGAATAAAGAGAAAACGTGAGGATTGTGGGTGGAGGAGGTGGACAAATAAACCTTCTAAACATACTTTTAATTAATAAATTGATCAAATTGACATGCAAAAATTTGTCGTATCGTTTACTTGTCAGATAAATAGATAGGTAATTACTAAAATGACTGTTGATTTAGTAGAAATAGATAAATAAAACTAATTAAATTTTGATATGCAAAAATTTGAGGTATTGTTTACTTGTCAGATAGATAGATATACATTTACTACTAAAATGAATGTTGATTTAGTAGAAACAGAATTTTAACATGCAAAAATTTGAGGTATTGTTTACTTGTTACATAGATAGATAGGCGGTTGATTTAGTAGAAATAGATAAATAAATTAATAAAATTCTGACATGCAAAAATTTGTGGTATTGTTCTCTTGTCAAATAAATAGATATGCAGTTACTATTAATGTCAGTAAAAATAACGTTTAGAAACAAATTGTGAAAGATGATAAATAATTATATTTTTGTTTTTTTTTTAATAAATAAACCGGAAATTAGGACTTGTGGTTTTTATAAGGTTTGAGAGAGTGCACTACTCTCAGAGAGAAGTAAAGATTTTTCCCTCTTTTTGAATTTCAAAAGTTTCCGAGAATATCCAAACTCTCTCTCTTCAAGCATCGATCCAACGGATCTCTCTTCGTTTCACCGCCGAATACCTCCTCCGCTATTTCTCGTCGCCGGCGTCCCCAGTTCTACCATCTCCGTCGGCCACCACTTCGCCTATTCTACGCGTCTTCGTGAGCCACGGTTCAAAATTTGTCTTACTTTCCCTAATCTTCGATTTCCTCGTTTACTCCGAACTTGGGCTGATTTATTTCGCCAATAAGGATTAGGATCTGCATTTCTAGCTTAATTTGATGTTTCCTGTTACTCGATTCGCTACGTTTTTGTTTATGCTAAACAAGAAATCGGAACCGGAACCTAATTTCGAAATAGCTTTTTACGCTTTTGATCGAATCAGATTGAATAGAGACTGTCAATTGTGCTTGTATTTGGGTCTGGGTACCGTGATTTTTTCCATTGGAAGCTAAATTGTTGCTTTATTTGTCAGATAAAAAGCCAATCGCGTTCAGATATGGGTGTCGAGGATTATCATGTGATAGAGCTCGTCGGTGAAGGCTCTTTTGGAAGGGTTTACAAAGGAAGACGGAAGTATACAGGCCAGGTAAATTATTGCGTTGTTCTCTTCTTTAACATCGGCTACTTCAAATCAGCTAACCAAATCTTAATTTGGTAATTTTTTCAGACGGTGGCGATGAAGTTCATCATGAAACAAGGAAAGAGTGACAAGGATATACATAGTCTAAGGCAAGAAATCGAGGTTAGGAAGTTTCAGTCCTTGGGGTTTACATGCTTCACATCATTTGACGCCATCAATTTTAATCCCAATCTATTTTAGTACCATTGGATTTGACCAACTTTTTTGTATGCCTCAGATATTGCGGAAGCTCAAGCATGAGAATATCATTGAAATGCTCGACTCCTTTGAAAACGCCCGAGAGTTCTGTGTTGTCACTGAGTTTGCCCAAGTACTTTTCTCACTGTTGATTGTAGAATCTATGAAGCATATAGCTATACCTATATGAACTAAAGAATCACGATGGAACACCTAATTTTTCAGGGTGAATTGTTTGAGATTCTTGAAGATGACAAGTGCCTTCCGGAAGAACAAGTTCAAGCAATCGCAAAGCAGTTGGTAACACGTTTTGCCAACATGCCTCTTATTTCTTTATCTGATTTTCCCATTCTATGATTAATAAGACACTGTCGAAATTTCTATAAAATCCAGGTAAAAGCATTGCATTACTTGCATTCTAACCGTATAATTCACCGTGACATGAAGCCACAAAACATACTTATTGGTGCTGGGTCTGTCGTTAAGGTAATATAACCTTCTTTTTGCTGCTTCCAGGAATTAAGTTTGAACTGCTGTTGTTTCTATGCTTCCCACACACATCAGTTGTTCATATTGTTGTTTCTTAAAGATAAGAAATATGATAGGTTTATAGTTACAGTCTATGATCGTTTCAGAAAACTAAGTTTATCATGTTAGTACTAGAAGAGGATACGGCTAGCCAGGAATCTCATATACTTAACGAAATATCAGTAGAAACAAAAGTACTTTTCAATGCAGCTTGATTATATGTTTTTCTTTTACTTCTCTTTGGCATCAACTTACTTGTCTTCCCTTGTGATTTTTCAGCTATGTGATTTTGGTTTTGCTCGAGCTATGTCCACCAACACTGTGGTTTTGCGATCCATTAAAGGTCAAACATCTTTATTTTCTTTAGACGTATTAATGAATGAATAACTCAGTAAGTCGGTTCTTGTTATTAATCCAAAATCTTACATCAGGCACTCCGCTGTACATGGCGCCAGAGCTTGTGAGAGAAAAACCATACAATCGCACGGTCGACCTGTGGTCTCTTGGTGTTATATTGTAGGTGGAGAAACTCATTTGAGTTGTCGTACTTCCATAAGCTATTACATATATAAATGTGATGATTGTGATGGCTTTTCTTTCATAGTTTTTCGTTTTTGCTTTATTCTTGTGTTATTCACATTTCACTGCACTTAAGATGGTTCTAATTAATCTCTTGTGATACATCAGGTATGAGTTATATGTAGGTCAACCTCCGTTCTACACCAATTCTGTGTATGCTCTCATTCAGCACATTGTTAAGGTATATCAATAATTTCATATTTGTCCATAGTCTATGCTAAAAATTTGAGCTAACATTTTAGTGAATCTTCAAGGATCCTGTCAAATATCCTGATGAAATGAGTCCTTATTTCAAAAGCTTTTTGAAAGGATTGCTCAACAAGGTGAAATTTTTTATTTAAGTTGTCCATTTATTGATACGTTTGAGACTATTCTTGGACTGGGCTAAACTGTTTGTCTATTACAATGCGAACAGGAGCCCCAAAATCGATTAACCTGGCCTGCTCTTCTTGAGCACCCCTTCGTTAAAGAATCACAAGAAGAAGTTGAAGCCAGGGTAATGATCTGATATTGATGACTTATACTTTGCAGCTTGAGTCCAATGTACAGAGCATTTCGTTAAAACTGTCTTTTTCATACAATGTAAAGGATTTGAAATTGGAAAATGTTGTTGGAATAATAGATCACTAAGAACATTTTGAACCCGTACAGGAAATCCAAACTCCAGTAGTTGACCATAAGGCAGCTTGGATGCTCAAAGGAAATGGAGGGCAACAGAGAAATGGTTTGATTCTCTTCAGTTTGTGGTTAGAATCTAATTCTTAATTAATTTTCTCCTTTATTAAATTTATAGTGTTAAATGTCACAGAAAAGTGCGACTCTGTGACCCTGGTTGAGAACATGTCTGCTACAAAAGTTCTAGCTGACGTTCAGTCAGATATGAAGAGTGCTGTCAATGTAAATTCTCCACCCCCTGAGGATTTTCTTGGATTCCCAACCCAAGAGGAGATAAAAAGTTCAGGTAATGGGATATGCTATTTGTAAATCTGTTCTTTTTGAATTTTGAGAATCAAAAGAGTTATCCAACAGATAGATACAGTGATGTAAACAATTCATGTTTAGATTGAATTCTGATGATCATTTCCATATCAATCTAACAGACATATATTTGGATATCATCCTTTCATTGTTGGTTATGGCCAAATGCATTTTCTTCTTTATCAAAGGTTGTTGTAAGTATGCTCTATTGTTCTAGGTTTACAACTCTTAGAGCTGGATTTTTGCTATGGTGTCATGCTATGCTTGATGTTTGTTTAGATTTAACACAACTCCCATGATATAAGGATTTTCTATCCTTTTTTTTTTTACTTCAGCTTTTGTATATTTCATATATAAACCCAGCTCTCCTTTTGTAAATCTGCATGTCTTAAAAGATTAGTGTCAGAAAATTCACATACATTTTGCTATCTGTGAAAGAACCTTAGCTGCCTTCGAAGTTTCTCTTGCTTTCTTTCGTCATGGACCTATATATCATCCTCATTCATCTTTGGGTTGTTTTCCCCGTTTCAGGTAACGCAACACTGGACAAATTGGAAAATACATCTCGCACTGTTAAAGGTGCACAAGTTATAGGTGAAGATGATAAAGCATTGGATCTTGTCTTGCTGTCACTGGAAAGATTTTCAAAATCACCAGATTCTAAAAGGTAAAATTTAGTGTATAGACTGTTCTTTTATTATATAATGTTGTGCTCCTACTTGATCATAAGAACGGGAGCATAAATAGGTTTCTTACATAAGATAGACTCTGAAACAGGGTTGCAACTTTCTGGTTTTATGATCTATTACTCTCTTCCAGTAAATTGTTGTAATTTATGTTATTTTTCTTATACATGCATATTCACATTTTCGTTCATGGGTGTGCAGGGACAAAGATGTTGCTTGCTCTGTTCAGTCCCTCAGGATCATTTCCAATTTGGTTGCAGCTCGTGCCATAGTTTCAGTTGGACTGATTGAGAAAATAACGTGTGCACTGCTAGACTTTACTGACGCTCTTGTTGGGATGAAATCATCCGAGTTCAACAAAATAATACCAAAGGTGAATTCTCTTGACCAAAATGTCTATCATGTGTTTGATTAGATACCTACTTTGTTTGACAGTCAGCCTGCTTTCCACAATCAGCAAGTAAAAAAAGTTCAATGATTTTTAACACCGACTTATTTTTTTCAGAGTCTTTCAGTCACTAAAAACTTGGTAGGGCATATTGAAGGCAATAGCATACATAGTTCCTATATCAGGCACTGGACCAAAGTAGTGGAAATCTTCGTACAGGTGAGTTTTTTTGGCGCATAAGTCTCTTGTGAGATTAAACCACATGTACTTATTTTTTACTTTATGTGGATGTAGGTCGTTGGATGGAAAGAAGAGGGAACTGGTAGAATTATATATGAGGCCTGTTCTTGCATCACAACAATGTTATCTCGAGTTGCCGAAGATCTTAAATCTTCAACTCCTGATTCTGTTTCTAAACAGATTTTGGAGCATGCTAATATGTCTCGCTTAGTTGATCATTTGTGTCTTTGTCTGGCTTCTTCTGGGTCGAGTTTAACTTCCGGCACTTCACAAATGTTAGCAGCTGCCTGTGAAGCTTGTAGAGCAATATGGATTCTCATAGATACTTCCGAAACATTCTTCAAGAACGATAATGTGAACATATTACCTCTAGATGCTTTGCAGAACCGTCTCTCTCAGCATGAAAAAGGAAACAGTGAGTGGGGTCCGTTATCTGAGAAACTTGTTGATACAGTGACAAGAACATATCTCCGATCAAAGCATGTGCAAGTTGCTGTCAGTCATTGCCTTCACCAACGAGTGGAGGCTCCATTGGTTTCTGCAATTCAGGTGATTACGTGATGCTTCTCTTCTTTTTTGGCTATCTTAACAAAATTGTTGTAGGTTGTTTGGATTCACCAAGTTACAAGATAACTTGTTTTTTGGTCCACAGATATAATTGAATTTGTTTTTCTTTCCACTCTTTAAACTTAACTGGAAACTCCTTATGTAATGCTTCAGCTCTTGTCAAGATGCTGCCTTCACAATGGAATTATGCCTAGCATGCTTTGTGGTCTTCCCAGTTCACTGCCTATTACGACCGTAGTCAGTGGTGGAGAGGATGGTACAGTTATTTCAGAATTATTTTCTATACTATCCTATGCAACATTATCAAGCAAAGACCAACAAACAAGAGAAAAAAATAACTTCGAGGGCAGACTAAACAATCTGGTATTCCATTCATGCCTTCTGTTGGCAACAGTTGCTCAATGTTTGAAGTTGACTGGGAGAAATTCTGCCCTGTTAATGCTTACAACTTCTCCAAGGAAGCATCTACATCGTCTTACTGCTATAGCCAATCACATTGCCTCTGATGATAAAATTGAAGCTTCTCTTCAGAATCACTCTGCTTCAGCTATGCTTGCTCTCGCATCTATTCTCTCTCTTGAAAACGGATCTTCTGCTGAATCTTCTGTCTCGGAGATTGCGGTACCTCTGATTCCTCGAGCTACTAAGCTTTGTTATCATCTTAGACCTATGCCAAGTCATGAAGGTGAAGTCATCTCTCATTCTGCCAATTTTACCAAATGGCACGGACTTCTGGATGGATGTATCGGTTTATTAGAATCCAGATTGAAGTGGGGAGGACCTTTAACTGTGCAGCAGCTTATTGCTAGTGGTACGCCATTGCTTCTTATAAATCTGTTAGCTGGCAAACTTTCAAATGCTTCCCCAGATGACATCAAGAAAACACCCAACCGGATTGGCTTGTCCCCTGTTGGCGTTATATGGACTGTCTCTTCCATTTGCCACTGTCTTTCAGGCGGCACTTTAACTTTCCGTCAGGTTCTTGTGAAGATTGAAAACATGAAGCTGATTACTTGTTTACTATCTGATGCTCATATCAAGCTAGTAAAGAACTGGGGAGGTCCGGGGGGAGGAAAAGATGGAGTCAGAGAGACAATAAATGTGATAATTGATCTCTTAGCATTTCCTTTTGTTGCTCTACAAAGTCAACCAGGTTCGTTATCTGCCACAGCCTCTGTAAATAGTGGATTTATTCTCAACATGGGTTCTCCTGGGGTGAGAGTGTGCATGGAAGATAGAGATTTGCTAAAAGCTATAGAAGAGGATATGGACAAATACATAAAAGTCCTCCTGGAGGTTAGTTCGTCGATTCTGTTTCCTTGATGTTTTACATACTTCTGTCTAAATGTTGATTGGAATCTATGGTTTTCCTTTTAATGATTCATGAGTTGAAATCTAGTTATTGTTACAAGCTGATTTTTTGATAATTTTTTCAGGTGGGAGTTCCAAGTTTAATCCTACGTTGCTTGGAACACTTGGAAATAAAAGATCTAGTAAGGCCCGTTGCTTTTCTTGCCAAAATGGTGGGTCGTCCACGTCTTGCGGTAGAGCTCGTGAGCAAAGGTCTGTTAGATCCTAACAGAATGAAAAAATTACTCAACCAATCAAGTCCAAGAGAAGTCATACTTGATATTTTGATGATCATATCTGATCTATCTAGGATGGATAAGGTAAGCGTTTTATATTTAGGATGCATTCTATTTGTTACCTTCGCTTAGACACAGGATAGTGAAGTAAACGATGGTATCTAATTTGGTACTATTGTGCAACCGTACAGGCTTTCTATAAATACATCGGGGAGGCTTCTGTTTTGCAGCCTTTGAAGGAATTTCTTACCCATGTGGATCCAAATATACGTGCAAAAGCTTGTAGTGCTCTTGGCAATATGTGCAGACACAATGGATATTTCTACAGCTCTCTTGTAAGTTACAGCACTAAGCTTCTTTTACTTTGAGAGCTCGAACTTTTCAGAACAGAGTGTTTTTTCTTACATGGTCTGGGTGGTTATTATGTGCAGGCGGAACATCAAATCATCGGTCTCCTCATTGATCGATGCGCTGATCCGGACAAACGAACACAAAAATTCGCTTGCTTTGCTGTAAAATCATCAAAAACTAACAAGTTTTTTTTCTCCACTTCCATAATACTTCTGATCAAATTTTAAAAGAGGCCTTTCCATTTTTCTTTTCTTTTGCAGATTGGAAACGCTGCTTACCATAACGACACGCTGTATGAAGAGCTACGACGATCTATAACGCAGCTAGCAAACGTCTTGACCACTGCTGAAGAAGACAAGACAAAAGCAAACGCTGCTGGTGCATTGAGCAACCTTGTCCGAAACTCCAACAAACTCTGTGAAGATATAGTCTCCAAAGGAGCTTTACAAGTTAGTAACAACTGCAGATTAATTTGGTAGGTCAATATACATACGACTTCTTGTGTCTAATTTCGCGTATGTTGTGTGCACTGTGCAGACGTTACTGAGGCTAGTTGCCGATTGCTCGACTCTTGCCTTGAACCCAAGCAAGAAAGAGACAGCAAGTGAGTCACCGCTCAAGATCGCACTCTTCTCATTGGCTAAAATGTGTTCGAACCACCACATTTGCAGACAGTTCGTGAAGTCATCAGAGTTGTTCCCGGTCATTGCAAGGCTTAAACAATCCCCTGAGGCTAACATTGCTCACTATGCTTCAGTTATTGTCGCCAAAGTTGGTGGTGACACTGATTCTTAAGAAATATTACGTCCCTGTAAATGTATTGTGTTAAGACATCGTTCGTTTACATTGTAGTCTTGTTATTACGTTGAAAATCGTTTAAGAAATGGGCCAACGATCTAAACTGCAGTAAACTGTCAAATTACTTTCGTAGCTCTCTATTCAGGCGGTTGATACAATTCAAGATAGTTTCTTTCTAAGTTCACTGTGACCAAAAAAAAGGTGAACAAAAAGCCAGTTTTTGCAAAGCTGAATATGCTCATAAAGTGAACACATTGCATTACATTACAATGTATACTTAGATTTACTAAAAAATACGAAATATACACAAATATACCGAATTGGTGACACATATGAACACAAATATACTTATAAGCTAATGGTATTGTAAGCACTAAGCAATGGCAACTTTGAGGAATCAAGATATATACAACTCAGCTTGGCCGTCAATAAAGAGGCTCATGAACTCTTCGCCGTCAACAGTTTCTTTCTCGATGAGGAGCTGTGCAAGCTTGTGTAGGATATCAATATGAGTTGTTATGATCTCTGTTGCTCTCTTGTATGCCTTCTCAACTAACTCTCGCACCTCAGCATCTACAATATCTGCAGTCGCCATTGAGTAATCTTTCTGTGATGACATCTGCAAAAACATTTCATGGATATAAGTAACACTCCAACTTGTCGAACCAACGATCCTAACATGAAAACGAAAAAAACCAGGTTCGTTTAGCAATATACTTGTTGACCCATAAAGGGATTTCCACCAGGGCCACCAACAGCAACTTGTCCAATCTTTTTGCTGAAGCCAAATCTCTCAATCATTTGACGTGCCACACGAGACACCTGCATGAAATCATTTGATGCTCCGGTCGTCACATTCTCATCCCCAAAGATCACCTCCTCTGCAACCCTGACATAGCCATCACAAAAGAGAGAGATGGTTCAACACAATTAAACCCCTCTTTGTCAATTCAAACCTGGCTTCTCTGACGAGGCCAATACTAACTAACCTTCCGCCAAGTGCAACAGCCATTTGATTCTCGAGGTAGCTCCTGCTGTACAATCCAGACTCAAGTCTTTCTTCGCTTGGAGCAAAAAAAGTGAGCCCACCAGCTTGGCCACGAGGAATGATTGAAATCTTTGCAACCGGATCATATTCCGGCATAAGAGCACCCACTAGAGCATGGCCAGCCTCTGCAAATTTATAATTCATTTGAGGTGGTCAGAAAAAAAGAATCCCAGCTGCGTACTCCATTACATATAATTAGAAAAAATACTAACCATGGTATGCAACAAGTCTCTTCTTCTCATCAGAGACAACTGCATTCTTCTTCTCAGGACCAGCAATGATCCTCTCAAGAGCATCAGAGATTTCGTCCTTGCTTATCTCCTTAAGCTCACGCCTGGCCGCAAGAATCGCCGCTTCATTCATCAGGTTTTGTAAGTCAGCACCTGTGAAACCAGGGGTCCTTCTCGCAACCTTGTCAAAGTCCACATCTTTACCGAGTGCCTTCCCCCTAGAATGAACCTACAATAAAACCAAACACCACAAAGAAATAAGAACCTTTCACACAACTCCAGAGACAACCAGTAAACTTTATAAAACAGCTATGAAAAAACCTGAAGAATCTTGACTCTGCCAGCCACATCAGGCCTATCCACAGTGACCTGTCGATCAAACCGTCCAGGCCTCAACAGTGCCGAATCAAGAACATCCGGCCTATTCGTAGCTGCCAAAACTATCACACCAGAGTTGCCAGAAAATCCATCCATCTCCGTCAACAACTGATTAATAGTCTGTTCTCTCTCATCATTTCCTCCTCCCATCCCAGCTCCTCTCTGCCTCCCCACAGCATCAATCTCATCAATGAATACAATACAAGGAGCTTTCGACTTAGCCTTCTCAAACAAATCTCTAACTCTAGATGCACCCACACCCACAAAAAGCTCCACAAATTCCGAAGCCGCGCAAGAGAAGAACGGTACTCCTGCCTCCCCAGCCACCGCCCTCGCCAAGAGTGTCTTACCCGTACCAGGCGGTCCAACAAGCAAACACCCTTTAGGAATCTTAGCACCCAAGGCTGTGTACTTATCAGGATTCTTCAAGAAATCCACAACTTCCTGTAACTCCAACTTAGCTTGATCAGCCCCAGCAACATCTGCGAATGACACACCAGTCTCAGGCACTTCCTGGAACTTGGATTTAGAACGTCCGAAATCCATAGGACCACCCAAGCCTCCAGGACCACCACCAGGACCACCTTGAGCTCGCCTGAAAAGCAAGAAGAGTCCACCAAAGGCCAAAAGCGGGAAAATCAAGTTTCCAATGACAGTGAACAAGTCATTGCCAGAGGATTCTCCTTCAGAAACCGATATATCAACTCCGTTCATAGCCAAGATATCAATAAGGTCAGGGTCGTTAGGGACGATGACGGAGGCACGGCGATTGTCGACAGCAGTAAGCTGAACAACAGAACCGTCTTTGCTGAATCTAACTCTCTCCACTTTACCTTTCTTCACCGCGTTAAGAAACTCGCTGTATCGCCACTGTGAACCTTCAGGAAGATCCGATGATTTAGGACTAGGCGCCTTAAGTATCTCGTTCCGATTGAACAACGGCGATGACGTTGATGGCTTCACAGCTTGAGCTTCCACAACGACAGACGGAGAAGCTGGTTCGTCCACTACAGCTAAAGCTCGCGGCGGAGATGATGAAATTGAAGAAAACAGAATAGCTGCTAAAGCAACTTGCGACGAGAATGGCGAATTGGGTTTACCATTTGGGGAATTGTTGTCTTGAGACGATCGAGTGATTTGGTATTTTGGACGGGAGGCGAAGGAGAAAGGGAAAGAGGGTTTTCTGGTGGTTTTAGGGGTGGGAGATGAGATTATGATATGGGATCCTAAGAAATTTGAAGAGCGAAGTAATGAGTTAGAAGCTGTGGCCGCCATTGAAGCAAGCAGCTCTGTTTCTTCTTCTTCTTCGTCGAGACTTCTGCGATGAAATCAAAATGGAATTTTGAGAGAGAAGCTACAAATGAGGAAACGTGGAAGAAAGGAGCTTTAAGGAAGAAGAGAATAAACAGAAGCCATGACTTGTCGAGTTCGTCTACGTTTTCTAGCTCATAGCCACTCGTGAGCTGATCGCAAAATGCCACAAAAATTAATTAATTAATTAATTGTGCAAATTCGAAATTTTTGTGTAGAGGTCGGACAGTTCGGTTTACTTTAAATTTAATTCGGTTCGGTTTGATTTTCTATTCCCCCACGGTTTGTGCATATCCTAGTGCCATGGCTACAACCACCATAGCTGGATCCCATCTTTGGGTGCAAAAGAATTCAGATAACCATGATCTATGGTTTGTCACCCTTGACCGAAATGTAAAGTAAGTTTCATGTTACAAGCTTGATCTCAGCGACAAGAAACCTGAATGTCCCCTTATGACCATGGATGGCATGGAAAGGTCAGAATACTTTCATTGTCCCTAGTGGCTAGGATAAGTTTCTCCCGCCCGCTAGAACAATCTCGTAAGCCTCAACAGTAGCTGTAAACAAACCATGGACGTGAGAGCTTCCTTCAATACCTTAGCCATTCATGTTAACAAGAGGCTCCACCCTTGCGATCAGTCTATCTTTGTCAAAACTTTATTTGAGAATCATGGATACTACCACCCAATCCTATTGAAACCATCGATGATATTTCCCAATAGTGAGAGACTGAGATGTGTACCTTGTCTAGACTCCCCGTAGTGGTATCTCCATAAATTATGTTGCTCCTTCTGAAAAGCGAATCGACGACACAAGATCACAGTTGCAGTATCTAATGAGGTGAAATAAACTATAAATCTCAAAGAAAACACCAGAGGAAGCCTTTTCTCAAGCACAAAATTTGTGACTGATATTAGCACAGACGTGTTTCCAAATGAGTTGCAGAAACAAGTCTTTTTTCCCTGCCAGAACATTATTTGTAGCGAAGATATACAGAACATTAGTTGCAGAATTTCCTCTTCTTTTTTCTTTGGTCAAAATATACAGATTTATCTCTCTTTATTTTTCATGTATACCAACTACAAGTGTACACAGTAAGAGCTTGGACAGAATAAGTGAATAACCCTTCCTGCCTCTAGTAAGTATCCCTCTTCTAATGGCTATTTACATACAACAAATAATAATTAAATTGCAAAACTGAGATCTCGTTGTAAGCCATATCTAAGGTTGGGAAGAGATGACAACCAAACCTGCCATAGAATAAAGAGCCCTGGGTAAGCTAATCGCCCACAGACTAAATACTACCAACAGCAAAAGGTAGACATGACAATATCTGGACTGAACTATGTCACATAAGGTAGAAGAATCCACTGAATCATTTTCCACTAACACATAATTTTATCAAATGCAAAACTTGGTGTTCAGTTTCGGTACACTACAAGCAGCCGAAAGAGAAACAGAATCTACTCCTAATATAAATGAAGTAAAAACACGTCCTACAACTATGATGTTTCAAGTAGCATAACTATTCTAGAAAAGATGAAGTGCATGGTTGGTTCTTGACTATATGAACAAACCAGTGTTGTTTCCATGTTCTAATATGAGGAAAACAACTGAAAAACAGAGAATCTGTCTGTCAAACTAGGGGAAGAAATTTCAAGTTCTCTTGGTATAGATCAAGAGACTTACTTGCAACAGAAATCTCCAGCGAGCTGTATAGCACTATATTACGGGTTGAAGAAACGTGTGCCTTCCATGTTGATAGCAACAAGAACCAATATACCCGTGATTATACCGAACCACAGTAATGCTAATCCTGAAAGTAGGAGGTTTTACAGTTTCAGGTCAGGAAAGCATATAAAAGAAATCATCGTAAGAGATTGAGCCTCCGTATACCTCCATCACCGCCAGTCCCTCTACCAGAATTGTCAACTAACAAATCCGAATCTGATACATCTGCGTTGCTTTCAGACCCATTACTACTATCTGCCTTAGAAGGTACTGGAGCCCCAAGCGAGTCACCACCAGAAATTATACTGTCTCCGGCTTCAGATGAAACTATGCCTTGAAACTCCTCACTCACAATCAATGCAGACAACACGTTCATAAATGACTCTTGACCAATATCATCTGAAGAAACCTTTTCATTCCGCACAAATGAGCCAAGTTCTTCTGAATCAGACATTTCATCATCAGAAGCATCTGCATCAATGGCTTTGACATTGGTCTTGTCATCTTCTTCCTCCTCCACATATGCTTTGTATGTAAGCCGTAGCAGTATCTCACCTGCAGATCCCTTTCCAAACAAACTCCAACCACCACGCAAAATCACAATTCTGTCTGTAGGAACCGTATCTTGCAGAAATCTGAGATCAACCTGGACATATAACTAAATAATAAGGCTATGCAGACAGCAAATTAAATATTAAGCAACAATCCTCAAGCAATCATTACCGAGATCCACAGAATCCTCTGTAATCCGACCAATGCCTATTATTCTACAGATTACAAAAAAAGTGTACTAAGGAAATATGATTTACCTCTCCAGTACCAATAGCCATATCAGCAAACCCAAGACGATCATTGACCTCAATTTGTAATATTTGCTCTCTAGGATTTGAAACAAGAAATTGAAAGTCCTGCAAAGATTACGAATACACACTTATCCAATTACATTTCAAAACCTTCACTAGTTATAATTCACCACCAGATGATGAATGAACCATCCAAAGCAGTTCACCTGATTCCAAATTGGCTGACCAGGAGCCCCAATGACAGTAGTTTGACTGTTCCTTTTACTACGGATAACTTGATCACCTAATCTGAGAATTGCATATGGATCCGTTTTACCTGTTACCATTTACCGAAGAAAAAGAAAGATCTCTCACCAATAGACCCATTTAGTGTAGCTACTTTATTCCCAATAAAGTCGAATGAACTTGCACAAAGAGGCTAATACTTCAGCAATAGACTGTCTGTCTATTTCACTTTTCCAACTCTGAAGGAAACACTGACATGTGAAGGAACTATATAGCTTACCAGAGAACATGTAACGAAGTTTCTGAGCGTCTACAAGAGTGACAGATAGTTCCCCGACAAAATCCTTATTGCCTTCCTGCATTTCTCCTGATTTCAGGTCTTCTGAAACAGGGCCAACAGCTTTTCCTTTTTGAAAATCCAAAACAATTTTATTTGGTCGGACAAATAATCGAGGCAAATCCTCCGTCAGCAGTTTTGTCAAGAACCTGTAAGAGATGATGCTAGGTAAAATAATAGGAGGGAAGAAGGAAACCACTATTACAAGACATTGAGGAGCTTAAACACTCAACGGTAAACAAAATGAAATACTGGTATTTAATCAGGACAATGCACCAATGCATCTTAAACTATATGCTCGTTAAATTCTGTTAAAATAAATTGCAGCTAGATAAATTACAGTACATCATCTAAGCAAGCAAAGTGGCCTTTCTATTACGAGGCACTAAATCCATGTAATACAAAACATTGACAGGAACAATTTTTTCAACAAGAGAATTCGTGAAGTAACCAGCTACAACAGAACTTACATTGATAGAACGGGAATTCCTGAATTCATCATTCGAACCATTCATGACAGAAGAAAAAAAAAATGTGTGAGTTGCGGCAAAAGTGAAAGCTAAAAATCTCTTCATTAAATCAGCAATCGTCGATAACTTAACCAATCCCCAGTCTAGCCAACAGTTTAAAACTTTTACTATAAAAGGTTGCCTGTTTATTTTTAAAGAGATGGGAAAGAAGCAGCACAAACAATATCATCGAAATGCAACAGTAAGACAAAGATTAATGCATACCCATTAGATTAAACAATCTGAATGCTGCGAGTTGAAATGTGACCTTTGGAAGTGATACAAACGAACATGATACAGCTCCAACCCAAGGCTGTGTCGGTATTAATCTTAGTTTGACCCAAAGCTCACCATCAATGTCAAAATCCCGGACACCAACTGGAACAACGATTGGGATAATTCCGAATTTCAAAGAAAGCATTAACAACATGCGGGCACCACCAGTATACCTAAGGCCAATTTGGTACCTATAACAGGAAAGAGTAACATGATAAGAAACCTCGAACTGAGCCGCTGATAAACAGTTTGAAGTACCCGATGCCCCAAAGATGTACATAATTCATGCTCAAGAAAGCTTATTTCGTGAACTCTTACTGAAAAGGAAGCCAAATAAATCTCATCAAGAGTTTCAATGGTTGTGAAAAAATATCCAACTGAAACCAAGTAAGAGCAATCCCAACAATTGATCAAATCAGAAAAATTTATTAGTACCGAACAAGTATACACGTACTGCAAGTCATTGGCACGGCGAGATGTCCTCCTCTCAACATTCCTGACAGACAAAGGCTCATCCCCTAAAGAAAACTGCTTAATTTCAACTCTCTGAACATAATCAGGCTTCTTCAAGTCATCAATCACTGGCTGCAACAAACCCACGAGCCAATTCTCAATCCCAGCTCTATACACTTTCCAGAGCTTCCCCAACACCATGTTGACCCACTCCACAGACTCTTTCCTTTGCAAATCCTTCTCTAGGAACAAAGAGAAGCTGGTGGGAACCTGTGGCCATGGCCCTAATCCTCTTTGCCCTCCATCTCCACCCGTTTGTCTCCGAGTCCATAGCTTATCAAAAGCAACACCAACGAAAAAGAAGAAGACGAATAGACCAATCACAGTACGATTTAGGGGTGGTGACGGAAGTGGATGGATTACACCCAATTGGGTCCTAAGCTTATCCACTATCGGATCTTCCCTAAAATTACTATAATTGTTTTGGTCATCATGAATCAGAGACTCTTGCGAAGTTTCCTCAACTTTTAATTCATTTGAAAATCTAGAAAAAAGAAACCTATTTGCAGCCTTTCTACTAGAATCTGTCAATCTTAGGTTTTTCGAATCCCCACGAACTCCGCAGGAAACTAACCGAAAGTTCAAAACTTTGAAGTTCCGACGAAGAACCCGACTCCTTGGAGACACAACCGCGCGGAGCTCATAAGAGCATGGACAGAGCAGAGGACGAGACACATCAACAGGTAACCGGAAATCAAAACTCGAAAAAGAAGATTGCGGAATCATCTATGAATCGTATCCGACAAAGAAGAATAAAAATAACGCATAACTGTAGGGTAGAGCAAGAACCGTCTTCTCCAATGGCTCTCGTAGCAAAATTTGTAGAAGCTAACAAAAGTTAGAAAATTGCAGAAGAAGAAGTTCATTTTCTTTTCTTCTTCCTAGTGTTTCTTTCTTTAGACTGTTCGACACGTGTATCGAACCTTCGTCTCCCTCTACGGCTATCAAAAATAAATAATAGAAACTAAACCGACTGATTCAGAGTCAGTTCGGTTCAATTGAATGGGAATTTTGGTTTAATTCGGTTTGGTTCCTTTGAAATTTGAAAAACTGGAAAAAATCAAACTTGTCTTTTGCTTATACTTTGTCAATTCTCATGTTTCATCAGCTCAAAACGTTGCTCGATCTTCCATTACAGTTTCTTCATCTCAAGCAGATCCATTGCTTAGTCCTCACTTCTCCGATCTTCTACCAAAGTTCAACATTCTCTATTTGATACAACTACCAAACTTCAGTGTTAGAGTATCCGAGAGAAAGCTAGACAAGTCATGCACCCTGTGCATAGCAGTCTAAATTTGAGGTAATAGAAACATATTACTTACCAGTTTCCGATCAATTTTATTTTGACAAGTAGGCACTCGTTCTCTGAGTTTCACGATCTTCTCATTCTGCTCCTTGAGCTGCCTATCCACATCATATACCCATGACCAAGCTAGCTTATTTTTCAGATGCAGAACCTGTTGAGTTATTTCTTCAACATATTCTTTATCTTTTCAAGCAATTCACTGATCTCCTTTTCTATTGGTTTTATGGTCTTCTCCATCTCATCCATAAGAGCATTTGCAGATTTCAACTTAGTGCCAATATAATACTTTGAAGAAGATCATCGACTTGCTGAAGAAGGGTTGCTTTATAAAAGAACTACAAAACAAAAGCTTTCAGTAAAACTATCAACAAAATTTACTTCAGCAAATACAGATTTGCAGGATATACCTTGAATTTGTCTTTGTCGTTTCCAGAATGTAAGAACTCCCTGCTCTTGTCTTGACTCATTATCACACAGGGATTCTCAACATCAATCTAGTCAAAGAAAGCATAATTCAGATCCAAGCAATGAATACCACAAATAACACGTAAATCTGATATAACACAAATGATCATACCTTTAATCTTGCAAAGAGAAAAGCTCACATTATAATGTTCAACAAGTTGCCGTAGCTCCTCTCTTCGGCTTGATATTTTTCTTCCTGCACAACACAATTAAGAAGAAACCCACTTGAATCAATTACTTGAATTTATACATGACATACACAGTAAGACTTGAGCTAACAAGTAAGAAGATATACAATGACAATCATAGCGCAAACAGATGTAGAGACAGCGATCACATTCAAATCAAGAAGAAGCACAGACTACTACGAAAATAGCATCAAAGCATTTGTTCACCTTGATGATCCTTGAGAACCGTTAAACTAGTAGAATCAGATATCCTGCGTTCAATAATCAGAGTATCACCATATATTTCAGGCTTAAAAGCATCCTCTCCTTGGTTTTTCAGTTCGACATGAACAAGGGCATAACTGCAGAAAAAAAAAAAAAAAAAAGCCAAATAGATTGAAGAAATTTATGTCATTTCTGCAATTTATCTCATGGAGAAGCAAATGTGCACAAACCTGCATCCAGTTTTAATGAAATCTTTTAGCGTAGCGGCGCGCTGAGTTCCCCTGGCTCGACATCCAAAGGCAACACATAGAGCAGTCAAAATCGCACTCTTACCACCTGAAAATCACGAAACCGCACTAACGGTATAAAATCATACAGCAAAAACAGCACTCTCCAAAACTCATTCCAGCTTCTAATAGGTCAATCATTCAAAATTCAATAAATTTAAATGATTCAAGGGTGCACGTTGCCTTATCCTACTTCTGGTACATCTAAGTTGTGGTACAACTAGGAGGAGGTACAACTAGAGAGGAGGTACAGTACAACTAGGAGGTACAGTACAACTAGGTGGTACAACTAGGTGGTACAACTAGAGAGGAGGTACAACTAGGATAGGTATACGTGGTACAACTGGTAGGTAGGGGTACCAGTTGTACCACGTATACCTAGTAAAGGGGTAGTTTCGTCCTTTCATTAAAAGGAGGAGAGTATGTGGATTAGAGGAGAGTATGTAGATTAATTCTTTGACTCTGAGGAGCAATTGAGATTAGTCCCCTGCACACAGCCTGCTGTTGGAATTTGCAGGAAGCTGTTTCAGATTTGAGGAGTAATCAGCAAGTAAATTAGCTGACGTGGATTCTATTACTAACTGAAGACATGACGTGGAGAACACGAGATTAGGATCAGTTAGGAAAGAAGATATTCACAAGACGATTTGGAGATATCCAAGATCCAAGCCACTAACCTAGAAGGTTCTCAGCCCGATGAATATAAAAAGAGTTGTTGAGAAGCTTGCTAAGGTTAGCCGTTTGAAGAGAGAAAAAGTTGTACTAAGCTTTTTCTTTAGAGAGTAAGGTTTACTCTGAATCGGTATACAAGAAGGATAAGGAAGAGTGTGTTCTTCAGATATGTTCTTGTTTAGGTTAGAAATCTCAGGTGACAAACTAAGATAGTTTAGATCTTGTGTAAAACCAATTAAGAGTGTCGTAAACATCTTAATAAGATTTCTAATAAAGGATACTCAGTGTTTCTGAGTTTGGAAAAAACGGCCTTGAGTTCATCCGGTTTTTTCATTTGGTATCAGAGCAAGCATCTGAACCAAGTTGTAACTTAACAACAGGTGCAGATCCTGCGGAAAGGATGGACTACCCCAAGGAGTTTGTTGCTGTAGGTCGTTCAGTCACGCTGGAGAAAGGGAATTATGGTAACTGGAAAGTGAAGATGAGAGCACTTATTCGTGGACTTGGAAAAGAAGCATGGATTGCAACTAATCAGGGATGGAAACCTCCAGTCATGAAAGGTGAAGATGAAAAAGATATCCTAAAATCAGAAGAAAGGTGGGATGACATAGAGGAGGCAAAAGCTACAGCAAACTCGAAAGCGTTATCTCTAATCTTCAACTCAGTTAATCAGAATCAATTCAAGCGCATTCAAAACTGTGAATAGACTAAAGAAGCTTGGGACAAACTTGCAAAGACATATGAAGGAACAAGCAATGTGAAAAGGTCACAGATTGATATGTTAGCATCTCAGTTTGAAACTCTCACTATGGAAGAATCAGAGACTATTGAGGAGTTCAGTGGTAAAATCAGTGCAATAGCAAATGAAGCTCACAATCTTGGTAAGAAGTACAAAGATAAGAAACTGGTTAAGAAGCTGCTGAGATGTCTTCCTCCACGTTTTGAAAGTAAAAGAACAGCTATGGAAACTTCTTTAGATAATGATATTATTGATTTTGAAGAGGTTGTCGGGATGATGCAGGCATGTGAGTTGGAGATTACTACAGGTAGTAATAGTTCTTCCAAAGGATTGGCACTCAATGTGTCTAGTGAGAAGAATGAGATTCAAGAGCTAAAGGATGAGATGAGTATGATGGCCAAAAACTTCAATCGAGCCTTGAGAAGAGTAGAGAAGAAAGGTTTAGAGGATCAGGGAAATGATCGAAAAAGAGACAGAGACAAAGATAGAAGTAGAAAAAGGACAGACATTCAGTGCCATGAGTGTCAAGGATATGGACATGTCAAAGCTGAATGCCCCTCCCTGAAGAGAAATAATCTTTAGTGCTCTGAGTGCAAAGGCATTGGACACACAAAATTTGATTGTGTGGATGCGAGATCTAAGAAGGAAAGGTTAAACATTGTTGAAAGTGAAAGTGACTCTGAAGAAGATGACTCGGAAGATGAAGTAAATGGTTTTGCATCCTTTGTGGGAATCATAGAGGAAGAAGATGAAAGCTCTAACAGTGAAGCAGAAAAAGAAAATGGGTTCAGCTCAGCTGACGATGAATTAGACGAAGAGAATGATGTGGATGTTGATGAGCAATTCAGAAAATTGTATGACAACTGGCTGTTACTGAGTAAAGAGAAGATCTCATGGATGGAAGAGAAGTTAACACTTCAAGATGAGAATGAAAAGCTGAAAGAAGACTTAGCTCTGGAAGTTAAGAAAAATTGTGCAGAGATGTGGTTCGGAGGAAGAAAAAAGTAGAGTCCTTACACTAGAGTTAAATGATACTCGGAAGATGATACACATGCTGAATAGTAGAACAAAGGATGTGGATAGCATTCTTGCCTCTTGGAGAGTTGGCAAATGAAACTTTGTTTGGGTTACCATGGAGGTAGTAAAAGTGGAACTACCAAATTCTTGAAGAGTCAGTCATCCCACAATGTTGTTAATCATCACAACCACAATGCTGTCAATCATCGCAACCACAATATTGTCAATCATCACAACCACATTGCAGTTAGGAACAATTCAAGACTTGTTCCAGCAAGGCATCTGCATCAAAACTACAATCACAACTACTATCACAGATCTGTGACAGGGTATGAGTGCTATTACTGTGGTCGACATAGTCACATACAGAAGTACTGTTATAAGTATGCAGCTAAAGTGAATAAACTGATGAGACAGGGAAAGCTTTATCCACATCAGAGAAGACCGTAAAAAATGTATGTAAAAGGGGACGATCTGTAATGTCATGTTGCATACACTTCAGCTGAAGCAAGTGGGTCTAAGCCATGGTACTTTGACTGTGGGACTTCTCGTCATATGACAGGGAATCAATCTAATCTGGATAATTACACAGTCGTGAAAGAGAGTAAAGTCACGTTTGGAGGTGGAGCTAAAGAGAAAATCAAGGGAAAAAAAATACCTAACCAAAGCTAAAAAAATCTCAACTCACAAATGTCTATTTCGTTGAAGGACTTACAACCAATCTCATCAGCGTAAGTCAGCTCTATAATGAAGGTTTAGGAGTGAGCTTCAACAAAGTAAAATGTTGGGCCACCGATAAAAAGAACCGCAATGCTCTCTCACGTATTCGGTCTGGTAACAATAGCTATATGTGGGAAGAACCTAAAATCTATCTTAGAGATGGAAAGGATGATCCAATACTGTGGCACCACCGACTTGGACACATGAATGCTAGAAGTATGTCAAATTTGGTCAGCAAAGAAATGGTTAGAGGAATTCCTGATTTAAAACTTGTTGACAAGATTGTGTGCAGTGCCTGCGATAAAAAAAAAACAGATTCGAGTACAGAATAAGAAAGTGGAAGGAGTGAAGACTACTCAGGTTTTGGATCTTATCCATATGGATTTAATGGGACCACTGCAGATAGAAAGCTTTGTAAGAAAGAGGTACATATTTTTTTTTGTTGATGATTTCTCACAGTTCACATGGGTAAGATTTATCAAGAAAAAAATCAGAGACAACAAACAGCTTCAAGATTCTACCTCTTCAACTAAAAAATAAAAAGAAGATGGGAACAAAACAAATCAGAAGTAACCGTGAAGGTGAGTTTCTAAGTGAGGCATTCATCAGTTTCTGCGAATCTCATGGAATTTTTCATCAGTACTTAGCACCGAGAACTCCACAATCCAACGTAGTAGCTGAGAGAAATAAACAAAACCCTTCAAGAGATGGCCAGGGCTATGATTCATGGAAACAGAGTTCCAGAGAAGTTTTGGGTTGAGGCTATCAGTACGGCTTGTTATGCGATAAACATAGTATATGTTAGGATAGGTGCTGACAAGACTCCATATGAGATTTGGAAGGGAAAGAAACCTAACCTGAGCTACTTCAAAGTATTTGGATGAGTCTGTTACATCTTGAATGACAAAGATCAGCTAGAAAAATTAGACCCTCGCAGCGAAGAAGGATTCTTCCTTGGTTATGCTACTAACAGCTTAGCATACCGTATCTGGAATAAGAAGAGGAAAAATATTTAAGAATCAATGAATATAGTTTTTGATGATGGAAGCATAACTACCATGCAAATAATTGCAAGTACTAGTGATGAAGGTCACAACAACACTTCGAAAAATCAAGAAGATGTGGCAGATGAGAATCAAAGTGATAGTGATACAAACATATCTGAGGAAGAATCTGATGAGGAAGCTGAACCAATACAGGTACACAAAAATCATTCTGCTGGAGATGTAATTGGAGACTTGAATGGAGACAGAGTAACAAGAGGAGTTAAGCTAGACTTAAAACAAAGGGCTTCGTTTGCTTGTTTTGAAAAGATCATGTTCTCCTGTTTTGTGTAGATGGTGGAACCTAAAAAAGTTAAAGAAACCTTGGATGATCACTTTTGGACACTCGCAATGGAGGAAGAACTAGAAGATTTTTCAAGAAATCAAGTCTGTAATCTGGTACCACGACCACCAAAAGAGAATGTCATTAGTACTAAGTGGAGTTTTAAGAAAAAAAGTGATGAAGTAGGAAATATCACTAAAAATAAAGCCAGACTTGTTGCTCAAGGATACACACAAGTTGAAAGACTCGACTTTGAGGAAACTTTTGCTCTTGTTGCAAGGCTGGAGTGCATCAAGTTTTTGCTCGGAACAGCATGTGGAATGGGATTTAAGCTACGAGTCTAAATGGTAACATGGTTTTGAGAAATTCTTGAGGAAAAAAAATGTTACATCATTTGATAAGTTAGAGGAAAAGTTGAGGAATGTAAAAAGTTGTATATTTGTGGATTTTTAAAGAATTAATAGTTTTTTTTTTTTGTTAAAGGTAAAGAATTAATAGTTTTAAATATTTTTATGATATTATGGTTTTATTTGGGATAATAGCGGATAGTTCCAACTTTCAAGTATTTCGTTCGGTTTCAATTCGATATTTTTGGGTTTCGGGTATTTTGGTTTTTGAGTTTAGCATCTATTCGGTTATTTTAGAATTGGGTCATGTTCGGTTTGGTTTTGGGTATTTCGGTTTTTTGAATCAAGAAACGATTAGGAACCAAAAATTTTTTGGATATTTTTCGGTTCCGGTTCTTATCTGAATAACCAAAAAATTAGAATATTTTTGGGTATTTTAGACATTTTCGGAAAAAATTTCGTATATTCTGGAAATTTTGAGTATTTTTCGGTTACTACGGTTTAGGTCCATTTGTTTCCGGTTCGGTTATTCGGATATTTTTGATTATTTGGATTTTTTAATTACTCGTTATAAAACAAACTAATATTTTGGATATATAATTGAATTTCGGTTTCATTCAGGTGTCCGAAATATTTTGGTTTCGGTTCTTTCGGTTATGAAATTTAAGATCTATTTTGGTTATTTCGTAGGTTTTGGTTTAGTTCTTCTTTTTCGGTTCGGTTTCGGCATAACAATTCTCTAATTTATAAGTTTATTTGATTAATTATTTTAAAAAAATTCAGCTAGATTCAGCTGTTACCATTTGAACTTTCAATTATTCAGCCAGATTCCGCAGAAAAACACAAATATATTCAGCCAGATTCAGCAATTCAGCCAGATTCAGCCAAATTCAGCAATTCAGCCAGATTCAGCCAGATTCTACATCAGATGGATGTCAAGAGTGTCTTCCTGAATGGTATCATACAAGAGGAAGTATATGTGGAGCAGCCTAAAGGTTTTGAGGACCTTGAATTTTCAGACCATTTGTATAAATTGGAAATGGCTTTCTATGGTCTAAAACAGGCACCACGTGCCCGGTATGAGAGACTCACTACCTTCCTGGTTGTTCAAGGATATATAAAAGGAAGTGTAGACAAAACCTTGTTTGTCAAAGAAGACATCCATAGTATGATCATCATTCAGATATATGTCGATGATATTGTCTTTGGAGGAACCTTTGACAAACTAGTCAAGGCGTTTGTGAAGATCATGACAACTGACTTCAGAATGAGTATGGTAGGAGAACTCAAGTATTAATTTATAGAAGTTTTATTGTATGCAAAAGTGAAAATAAAGTGACATATACTTTGGTTTAATGTGTTCATAGAGACATTTTGTAGGTAGTCGTAAGAGCATACTTTAACATTTAAAAAATACATGGATGTAAAAAAAACTTTTATAGTTGTAAAATAAATAGTAAATTTGGTAGTAGATGTAAATAAGATGATGGCTTAACCAGTGGTTTACATCTAAAATATTTACTAAAAGCGTTATTAAATTATTTTAGGCGAGATCATAAAACTACGGTTTTTGCAATTTGGCAATAATAATAATGATAAAATTTTGGAAAAAGTTTTGGTGGTTGATAATTTAATTTTTACTGGATTATTGTAATAAACATTGTAACAAATTAAAAATATACAAATGCAAATGGTTTATTAAGACAAAAAAACCGAATATATAAAATAACTTTTTTCTCTAACTAAAAAATTCTATATATTTTAAAGATAATTTCTACTTACAACCAAATTTGTAATCTAATTTATTTTGTTAAATTTGATTTTAATTAAAAACATTTAATCTATAGATGTCTTTATTTCCGGATAAATATGTGATATTTTTGTTATCAGTATCCAAATTTTTTAAACTTATAATTTTGGTTATTGTGGATAAGAATAGTATTGTTTTCTAAAAAGAAATGCTAACAAGAAGAAGTGACTGCGAAAATAGTGGTAAGCAAATAATAACATTCGTAACAAAGAAAAATTCAATGGTGCTGATTTTTTTTCTCTATAATGTTGATGATATATTTTTTGGTCAGAGTGTGCTAATTAATAGTTACGATGTAGTTCAATAAGAATCTTTGTTCAGAAAGATTTCATTAACCTTTTTTTTGGGTCTGTTTAGAATGAAATGGCACGACAAGTGGGATGGTTGATTATTGGGACTAGTTATCATTAGCCTAGAGAATTTTGTGAGAATCGCCACCAAAGTCCAAACCATCAAATGTGATTTAATTTTTTCTCTCTTTTTCAAAATCATTCAAACCATTGGCAGTGTTTTTTTCATGCATGACATCTGCACTCCAAGCTTGTTCTTCATGTTTATGTCGTTTAATAAACTATTTATTTGATTACCTTCATCACATTCGTACGTATATATATATAACACATAAGCAATGATAGTAATGGCCCCATATTATTGACCACTGATGGAAATCCATCGGTTATATGAAGGATCATGATGAAAGGAATCAAATAAATAGTTTGTTGTACTGAAAAATTATGAAGTTAAGAGTTTTTTTTTTTTTTTTTTATGGTAAATGGTAATTTAGAGGAATATTCAGAAGGATGTAAAACTTTTACACGAAAACTAGACAATACATATAAAAATTTAATGTGTATTTCGACCAAAATTGCCTCTGTTTTTACTCGGAATATAAAACCCTAGATTTTACCAATTCGACGATGATGATGCGGTTCCTAGGAAACAACGTCGCTAAGGTAATTTCGAGAGATCCTTGTCTGTGTTTCGAGAGATGGATCTTGTCTAATTTTTTTGCATTTGTCCTTAGTCATTGAAATTGGTTGAAACAAAATTTGCAGTCTTGTCGCATGGGGAGGTTGCAGTATCGTGGTTATTCATCCGCCGCCGTCGGTGAGAATTTGCTTAGCAATGAGATCGTTGTGCTTTTGATCAATTTGTATTCTCGTTCATAATATGATATTTGCTTCAATCAATTTGTAGGTGTGACTACCACCACCAGCAAGAAAATTGTTGGATATTGCTTTAAAGGGGCCTTTTTGTGTGTTGGAATCGTGTTAGGTATGTCGTCATCTTTAAGATTTTTCACTATAAAGAGTTGGAACAATCTTCTACTTCTTCTTTTAACAATGTTCATTGCGTTTTGGTTTTGGTTTCTTCAGGTGGTGTGACATCATCCCCAGTCGCAAAGCAAGTCCAAGAAACTGAAGAGGTATCACACAAAAAAGATTGGATTAGATTTTGCATCTCTTTTCCTTTTTCTTTTTTTATGTTCTTACCATTCGTAGATAATAACTCTTCTTCTTTCTTCTCATGTTATTGTTTCAGATGATCATGAGGAACGAGAAATTTCTGGATGAACAAGAAGCCATGTTGGAGGGATAATTTAGTTCTGGATTTCTATCTATCAATCACCTAAACTATAGACAATTTGGTTGTGTTGTCATTTGTATTATACTCTTTTGCAAATGATGTCTTTTGAATGGTTCAAATACTACTACTAGTTGCCACTGAATGTCACTGAATGAATCTTTGTTGTGAATCTTGAGGATGAAAAATTGATAACATGTTCTTTTACCACCAATGCTCTTTTGCTGCTGCATCTTCTCCCTTTCAAAACTTGGATGTCTTATTCTGGCTCCTGCTTATTCCCAAGCAAACAGAAATAAACTCTCTTTTTGTTTCTGTAATCGTAATGTTTCCCAAGCAAGCAGTAGTAGAATAATGAGGAAAGATTGAATTAATCGAGTCAACACAAGACAATAGAGGAAGAAATGTTTCTGTAGTTTTATCCTTTAACCTCACGACAAACTCTAAGCTACCTAAAAGCTGAAACTAGTAAAACATGAAATTATGTTTTCAGGTGCTTCTCCAATTTATCCACATGCTTTTCTTTAACTCCTTAGCATGGTCGGCTGCCTTTAACTCATCATGTTGCAAGCTTTGTCTGTGTTGGGAGCTTATAGACCATTTCACTTCGACATGGTTTAAAAAGCCTGCACCAGATTTTAACTCTTTAGCGCCGTCACAGGTCATAGCACGCAAGTAATGGGTTTCTAAAATTTGATAACCAGACCTGTTTTAACTTCACTTACTGCTTCCTGCTTCAGTGTCCCATTAACTGGAGATAGTTCTCATTTGACGACATGAGGGGACTCCGATTCTGTTTTCCTCTTATGTGTGTTTTGCCTTCCACTTTGGAAAACTGCCAAGAATTAAATCAGACCTGAGAGCTGGATCTCAAGATAGAGAAGCTCAAAAGGTGTTGATATGCTTAGCTGAGATGTCTTCATCAGTTGTTTCTGCAGGCACAACAGTACTCTAAATTGAGATGTCTTCCCAATTATTTTCCCAATCTCGAAGCCAGAACCTCAGGAACCTGTAAAATGTCCACAAAGCAGAAAATCATGAAGTGTTATAATCATATAATGGTGGCAACTTAAAAATCAACAAACAGGTCTTGTTTAATTAGACGAGGCCGCAGAAGTACAATTCAAAAGATACCATGAAAGCCTGATATGCAGATGGAGAGATCATTTAATATGTGGCCACACGGCACCAGTCTCATTCCAATATGCAAATGGGGCCATTTATTAGTATATGGCAACACATTATCAGTCTCGTTCCAATAAGAGAATATTACCCTAAAGCAGGCAATCTACAAAGATACTAAACCAAAACCAAAGGGGCTAGAAGCCATCTAATGGTAGCAACCGAACACAACTTAACACAAGAAACAGATCTGTTAAGGTAATTGAGAATTATGTGGTAAGATATATGTAGCTTTATAGTGAACTTATTTTCAGTAGAGACAAAGTAGTGATAAAACGGAGATTATTCCACATAAACAAATTAAAAGTTTCCCTGAAAGCATGATATGCAAATGGTGAGGTTAAATAATATGCGGCAAACAAAGCATCAGTTTCGTACCAATACAAGAATTTGACCCTAAAACAGGCTATTTACAGAGATACCAAACAAGGGAGAAATATTCAGTAAAACGTCAAAGAATTAGAGAATGGTATGAAATGTCAACAGATATTGGATAGCTAGAAAAATTCACATGTATATATACGTTTTTCCAACATATTTGAATAAGCAAAACTGTGAAACGTACCATGGCGCCATATTGCTCCGGTTTCGCTACAAGTTGCATACAGCAGTTATCGACAAGGATACTTTTTAGCAACCTCGCGACAAGATAGCAAGAACAAACAATCTGCAGGTTTCATGATGTTAGCCTTATGCACCGCTGCAACTTTCTTCCTGTTGTTGAGGTAGGCATACTCAAAAGCATACTCTGCAATACCCTCCGAACGGAACTTTGTGATCGCCTCTAGCAGAGAAATAGGATCAGAACAATTCACGGAAAGTGAAATACACACAACAGTGATAAGAAACTAGCTCATGTGTAAAGCCGCACTAACAACAAGATCATGTTCAAGAAGTAGGCATAATTTTCAGTCATAGATAGTTAGCCCATAATCGTCGATTTACGGCATACAATGTTCAACGAACAATGTTTCAAGTTTCAAATTAGATGCCAGTGGAAATGACCCTAAAGAACATGCCAATGACGGGGCAATTCCCCCCAAATCTTGATGGAATATACAGAAGCTAGCATAAAAAACCTTTGCTCTAAGCTAAGATTTCCACAAATTCAAGATAAGATGCAGGAATCTCAGACTGAAACCACACGAAAAGGCATAGCATAAGGCCGTAATCCAGTTAAAGAATTCACCAAAGAAGATTAAACAAAGAGCAGAATCAGAATGCCCAAATGAACAATAAATAGTGTACTCGAGTCCAAGTTGAGCTCAGCATTTAGCACTTACATATCCATGCTAAGTTGGATAATTCTATCTACAATTAAAGAAAGAGCTAGGAGCAATCAAATGGTAGCAACCGAGGGCAGCGTAAGACAAGAAACAGATCTGTTAAGAGTTAATTGAAAATCCGAGGGGCAAAGGAAATATATCTATGCATATAGAAACGATCGAGTTCATTTCCCGCCCCACGTAGACATCATGCAAAAACATATCCCACCGGCCAAGGTGCAAGAAATGAACGCATTATTGGGAAGGCTATCAAAAAGGAGAGAAACAAAAAAAGAAGGTATACCAGTGAATTCAGAGGAATGATCGTTGGTGCAACAACACCAACATTTTGACAGACGCTGCAATTCTTCAGGGCTGAAAGTTTTAACCTGTCAAGAACCAAGACCACATCTGAATCAGGTTTGCTAGCCAAAAGACCATGGAGTGGCACGCCAAGAACGAAACCATAACATCAGCTTAGGATTAAGAATTTAAACATACCAACCAGCTACTGTAACGAGCATGTTGCTCTGTGAGAAGCACAGGGGATGTAGACAGCGATAAGGATATTTAGGTAGACAAGGCTGAGATGCAAACACAAATAACATATATCTTCACAATAGAACATGCAAGGATGGATAACAAGGTAGCCAGCGATGAGGTGCAAAAGACAGTAACATATTATCGCAATAGAACATGTGAAAGAGTCAGATGTTTTGTGGAACTGTTTATTTCCTTTCATAGTTGTGTCGGGTTAAGAAGTTGCATGGTTGGTTCCTCGATTCAAATGTGAGGGTGAAGCAATAAAGCACAAAGACCCTAACAGTAAAATATAGTGTGCAAAGTTCAACATCAAGATACCAGTGGTAAGGAAGGAAAAATGTCAACAAATTAAGCAGAAAATGTAATTAGAAGAGAGATGGAAGAAAAACGGAGCCACACAATGCAAAATGAAGTCATCCAAGCAAGGCACAGAAACCACTATCTTAACCAATCATGGCCTTTCAGCAGCGAATATAAAAATGAAACGCTAACAAATTACAAAACCATTAATAGATAAGATCCATACATAGATACTGCAACTCCATTAACAAGAGTACTTAACAACAAACCCATAAAAGCATTACACGACAAATACATAGTCCAAAATAACATTGGATTTGGGGCAGAACATAGAACACCACAAAACAAGAAGATGCCGGCAAGGACTGAATTGTTCAGGGCCTGGATTTACCCTCCTCGAGCAAAATCAGCGTAATTGCCTGCAACAAGACCAGTAAAACATAATGGCTAGATTGAACACATTCATCTTCTTCTATAGGACAAGAATCAAACTATTACTTACATTACGATATCGGACAGATCTATCATACAGCTCCATCGTACGCTTGACGTGCTCCTTGTACATTCCGTCTACTTTGTGCCAATGCTTTCTTCTCTTGTAAAGATCTGAAAAACATCAATGTGCTTCACAACTGGGATTTGAAACGCATAATCAAAATTCATGCAATAAATTCAAAGACATTACTTCTGCAAGCATGGCCAAAATATCCGCCAAGAAATGCCACAGCAAGAACCAAGCCGTCCTGCTCCTTCCACCCATGCTTGACGCTCGAGGACAGTGGGGAAGATGCCATGGTTGAATACGCTCTTCCACAGTACTACAACTCTCGATTCAAACAATACAATCAAAAACAACGAAACTGTTTACAGAATCCGGACGAAAGGAATCATTTTTGCTTACCTTTGCGACAATCTTTTGCGTGTGCTTCATCATCTTGCTCCTGCGTCTCGCTGATGAATTAGGGATTCTGCTTTACCAATCTTCTTCCTCGACCAAATTTCTTTAAGATAACACATGAGTACAAGTTTGACCCAAAACAAATGAGTATAAACAGGCCCATTAGTTTGAAACAGGCCCAATATCTTTTTTCACCTCAAGTGATTGTATGCAAATTGGTGATTTGGATCGCTGTTACACAAACCACAAATATTTCATGTCACAGCACTCAGGAAATATAAATTTACCTACGTTAAGTTTTCAAATGGTCGCGGTTGTGTCCAAATGCTTTGTGCCATGACACCGTAAGAAGTTGATTTATGACTACATGTACCAACCGAATATGCGGCAACACTGTTGAAGGTTGTTCTCTTTGATTTCTCCCGTAAAAAGAGAAAGACAACAAATTAAAAAGGGTGAAACTAAGATGATGAAGAACAAAGGGATTTGCAAGTAGAAGAAGAAGAAGACGTGATCTTGTCAATAAGAAAAAAGATTATGGGTTTTTGTATTTTAACGAAGGTCCAATCAATAAGTGTGTTTTGTTAGATTAAGCTTAGCTAAGGCCCTAAGTACAGTTGTTGGAGTTGCTAGACTTTTATGGTTAGTTGTTTCAACTTTGCTTGTAAAATTGGACTTCTCTTTAGACGTCTAAGTGGTTGTAGTTAATCTCAAGGTCTTAGTGTGTGTTTATAGTAAGTAGAGAAATCTACCTTTACTTAAGTATGTATGAGAGAACATGCCACATATATACCACCATACTTTTGCCAACTTGGACAAAATATCCACCAAGAAATGCCACATAAAAAACCAAGCCGTCATGCTCCTTCCACGCTTCCTTGACGCACAAGAACGATGGGGAAGAGGCCATTATATTGTTGAAAACGCTCTTCCACATTATTACAAAAATCGTCCGATTCATCGTCTTCTTGTTCCTTAGCCGATGATTTAGGGCTATTTTTTTTTTTTTGTAAATGCCATTTTTATAATAAGAAGTTTTAGTTTTTGGAAAAAAGTATTTTTTTCTATGTAGAAAGACACTTACATCCTTCATAAAAGTTTCAGTTTATATGTTTGCTATAAATAAACTAAAATCATCTTACTAAATAAAATACTAGATAAGACCCGCCTAAATACGCGGGTGTAAGATATAAATGTAAAATTGTAACGATAGTATCTAAATTTTGCAATACAGTTTAACTATCTATTTCATCATATTAAACTCGATTATAATTCTACACACTTCATCTTAACTTATAGACATATAAATTTGTTTACTTTTTTAGTTTTCCAATTTCTTTAAAGGAAAAAAAAGTTAACTATTTTCTAACACATGTCAACATCTGATCAATGACTTGATACGTGGCACAATCCTATGAGTTATTAACTTTGAAAACTATACTTTATATAATAAAGTATGGTTTTCAATGTTAGTAACTCAAACGATCGTGCCACGTGTCAAATTTATCGATCTTAGATTTTGATATGTGTAAATCAAAAAATTTCTACAATGTTTGCATCTAACAGGTCACCACGAACCTACAATGCCTCCACTACACCACCTGATCCAGCATCTTGGCTCATTGACAGTGGAGCGACGCACCACATAACATCTGATCTCACCAATCTCTCCATGCACTCACCTTACACTGGCTCGGAGGAAGTGATTGTGGGCAATGTAGATGGTCTTCAGATAACACACACTGGTTCCCTCTCTTTACCACACTCTTATCACACTCTTTCTCTCTATAATATTTTCCGAGTGCCTGCAATTGCCAGGAATCTAATCTCGGTGCCTAAACTATGTTCTTACAACTCTGTTTCGGTGGAATTCTTCCCCGATTGGTTTCAGGTGAAGGATCTCAGCTCGGGAACGCAATTAACCACAGAAAAGACGACTAATGGTGGATATGAATGGCCAGCTTCTGTTTCGGATGAATCTCCTTTATTTTTTTTGCTGCTTCAATAAAAAGTCCAATGCCTATTTGGCACTCTCGTCTTGGACACCCCTCTTCTTATACTTTACAAACAATTGTCTCTCATTTTTCTTTGCCTATTTCTAATAAAGATTCATTCCTACTATTCAATGCTTGTTCCACTTCAAAAAGTCACAAAATAACTTTCTCTATCTCCACCCTCACCTCAACTAAACCACTTGACCTCGTGTACTCTGATGTGTGGACTTCGCAAGTCTACTCCATCGATGGCTACAAATATTATGTCATCTTCGTTGACCACTTCACCCACTACGTTTGGCTATACCCACTCCGCCGAAAATCTGATGTTCTTGAAACCTTCACTCGCTTCAAAAAGCTTGTTGAAAACAAACTCGACACAAAACTCAAAACACTTTATTGATTATTCTGATAATAACGGCGAATACATAGCCATGACCAAAATTCTAGCCGAAAATGGGATTACCCACCTCACCTCCCCTCCTCATACACCACAACATAATGGTTTCTTTAAACGCCTCCATCGTCACCTTGTTGAAACAGGTCTGGCCCTCCTCTCTCACGTTTCCATACCCATATCCTATTGGAGCTTTACCCTCACCCCCACAGCTTATCTTATTAACCGTATGCCCACCTCCACTCTGGCATACTCATCTCCTTTTGAATGCCTATTCGGCTAAACACTAAACTACACAAAGCTTCATGTTTTTGGTTCCCTGTGCTACCCTTGGCTTTGGCCATACACCAATCACAAGCTCGAACCTCGCTCCACTCCTTACGTTTTCCATGGCTATTCCCAAACACAAAATACTTACCTTTGCTTAGACCCTTCCTCCCATCGCATTTACATCTCTCGCAATGTTCAATTCCATGAAACTTCCTTCCTATTTAGTCAAATCCCCTCATCTCAACCCTCTGCCCTGAACATCACTCTATGGTTCCCATCGACCTTACAGCTCCCTGGCCATTCGAATTCACCGTCGTCCGTAGTTCAGTCGTCCCTAGGCTCGGATCCTTCACCGCCAGCGACCACTCCGACAGACCAAATTTCCGACCATTCTGCTCCTCTGGCTGATGATGTCGTCTCTGGCCAAACAAGTCCCACTACAACTGGGCCTATTTTCGAAACTGGGCTCAATTCTGCAAATTCTCAGGTTTCAGCAGATGCGTCAAGCCAAGCTGTATCTAGCCCACTAACCTCTATGTAGGAGACTGCAGCTGGACCTACAACAAAGCCCACCACCATCACGTCATCGTCTTCCTCACATACCAACAGCCATTCGATGGTCACGAGAGCTAGAAACAAAATTATCTAGCCGAATCCAAAATTCTCGATGCTTGTCTCATCCACTCTGGAAACCGAACCCAAATCGGTAACTCATGTGATGAAGGATGTTCGGTGGCGTGTGGCTATGAGATCCAGGTACGATGCACAGATTAAACATCGGACTTGGGATTTAGTTCCTCATGATCCTTCATATAATCTTGTGGCACATAGTGGGTTTTTCGCATCAAACAGTTTTCTAATGGGGATATAGACAAATACAAGACGAGGTTTATGGCAAAAGGAATTTACCAACGACCCGATCTCGATTTTGAAGAAACTTTCAACCTCGTGATTAAAGCAGCCACGGTTTGTCTTGTTCTTGGCCAGGTTGTTGATTGTGGTTGCGATCTCCTATAGCTAGACGTCAACAATGCTTTTCTGCACAGCAAGCTTGATGAGGATATTTATATTGCCCAACCAGCTAGTTTTGTGGATCGTGATAAACCGGATTATGTCTGCAAGCTTCGGAAAGCGTTGTATGGCCTGAAACAGGCGGCTCGTGCGTGGTACATGGAGTTTCCCACATTCCTTCTCAATTCAGGTTTCACTAATTCTCAATCTGATGCTTTGCTTTTTTATCTTGCTTCATCCCGGTATTATGATCTTTGTCTTGGTCTATGTCGACGACTTCGTCATCACAGGTAATGATTCATCTACAATTGAACAGTTCATTAGGCTCTTGGGTAAACGTTTTTCGCTAAACGTCATCACAGGTAATGATTCTCACCGAACTAAAGAATTAAGCATCGAAGCTCATCGAAATTCCAAAGGACTCCTTCTCACGCTACAAAAATACATCACAGACTTGCTCGCTCGAAACAACATGTTGGATGCTAATCCTGCCTCCACACCTATGACATCAAATTTCACACTGAATCTCAGCTTTGGTTCTCCTCTTCTTGATGGACGAGAGTAATGCAAAGTTGTTGGTAGCCTCCAGTACCTTCGCTTCACGCGACCAGATGTGGCTTTTGCGGTGAACAAATTGTCCCAATTTATGCATAAGCCAAATGATCTTCACTGGCAGGCTGTTAAACGTGTTATTCGGTATTTATTTGCCACACGAGATCACATAATTTTTCTTTGCAGCAATAACAATTTGAATCTTCACGCCGTTTCGGATGCTTCATGGGCTGGTGATCATGATGGCTATTCTTCCACGGGGGCGTACATCGTCTATATTGGCTCCCACCCTATTGTCTGGTCCTCCAAGAAGCAGAAAACGGTGGCTCGGTCTTCTACAGAAGCTGAGTATCAGTCAGTTACGGACACGGCTGCAGAACTTTCTTGGGTGGTATACTTGATGTCTGAACTTGGTATGTCATCGTCTTTTCAGCTTGTTATCCACTGCGACAACGTTGGCATCTCATACCTAGCTGCCAACCCAATTTTTTCATTCGCTCATGAAACATGTGGCGCTTGATTGCCACTTTTTTCGTCAACTTGTTTAATCTCGGTTTCTTCGGGTTGTTCATGTTTCCTCCGATGATCAACTCGTTGATACTCTCACTAAGCCGTTACCTCGTCTGCAGCTTTAACATTTAAATTCAAAGATTGGGCTCTCTAACGGTCGCTCATATTGCGGGAGCGTTTAGGAGATAAATGTAGATACATATTGTTATGATCCTCTCAAGGGATATTCTGTATATTGCAAGAATATCTCCATGTATATTGTTAGGCTAGATCTATACTTATCTCCAACCTTTGTATCTATATAAGCGTTGTATTCTGTTTATATTCAATAACACAGAACATACATTTCTCTCATCTACTACATTAGCAAAATCACGAAAACCCTAGCAGATTTTTGTGAATATCCATAAAAGGAATAAACTTGCTCCTCAAGTTTATCCTTTCCATATGTTGATTCGGAGAATATTTAGTGAATCTTCGAATCAACAACCACACCAACAACGTGCCACGTCAGCTACTTGCTTTGTCAGCATGTCGCAGACTGCTGATACAAACTCATGTTGATATTAACTGGATGTCTTCAACATCATCTTGCTGTTTCAGAGTGAAAACTTTGTAGAACCAACTCACAAACTCACGACGAGATGTAGAAAAAACCAAAACTGAGACCTATTAGGTACTCTTAAATGAACCAAACGGAGCAGTATTCTGTTTACGTAACCCCAATCTTCCTTTTCCAACCACGAACACGACCATCTGAGCCAACACCTAGTTAAGCCCGACAACAACTAGATGTCTTCCCCCTTGAAGTTGGAAGTATGTAGATGAAGAACACCCAACTTGCTGAAAAACAAAAACGTGCTCTGTTTTGATCACTCCTCCCACTACAGAAAGGAGCAGTAAAAAGCACAAGTCAAGGTCTGTAAAATATTGTCAGTCTTGATGATCTTCTTAGTCTGAACATGGTTTCGCAGTCTGTCACACACCTCAACAAGAGGACTCGCTTGCACTCTGGGGTATAAAGGTATGTAAACTACTCTTGTAGAATCAACATAAACAGTTTTATTGGAACAACAAAGTGATTTTTCTTAAAGGGTCAAAAAGTAAAGCTAAGGATTGTACAATCGACCATGGAGCTTCACAGACCTTAAAAATGGGAGATACGGTTGTGGTTGCTGATGCTGAAAGAGACTTATTCGTGATGTCTAATGGTGGCTAAGAAAATTTGAGTTGAGCTTAAAGGTATGTTGTTCTATGAAATTTGATGTTGTTGTGCTGTATGCATTAGATTAGGTTGATTTTGAATCAATTATGCCACTCAAGCAGGGGGAGAGTTAATGGCATGATACAATCTGAACCTGAATTTAGAATTCTGGGGGAGTTTAGGATTCATGGGCAGTTTTTTAGTGTTTGAACATCATCTTGTACTTTGCATTTGGATGTTGCTTGGATTTGTATGTTTTTGGTTAAGTTCACAAACATGTTGCATGTTGGAGGATGCTCCTTAGTTGATTTGAGGATTTGTCATGATCTATAAGCCTTCTGAAAATTACTTATGATTTGCTTCCGTGTGATATGATGTTTGCTTGTGAGTTTCTTGAAAGGATTATTGCAGGATAGCTTGAATTGACAAATTGGATCAAAATGGGAGAGATTGTAAGTGCATATAGTTCTTGGATCTGAAGAACGCACAAAGATTTGCCGTAAGGATGCACAAAGCTTTGGTCTGAAGGACGCGGTCTAAGTTTGGGTCTAAAAGACGCATAAAACTTTGGCCTGACGGATGCGCACAACCTTCTGTTGAAATTTGCAGGAAGCTGTTTCAGACTTGAGGAGTAATCAGCAAGTAAATTAGCTGACGTGGATACTGTTACTAACTGAAGACATGACGTGGATAACACGAGATTGGGGTCAGTTAGGAAATAATATATTACAAGAAAATTTGGAGAGATCCAAGATCCAAGCCACTAACCTAAAAGGTTCTCTGCCCGATGAATATAAAAAAGGGCTGTTGAGAAGCTTGTTAGGGTTAGCCGTTTGAAGAGAGAAAAAGTTGTACTAAGCTTTTTCTTTAGAGAGAGTAAGGTTTACTCTTGAACGGTATACAAGAAGGATAAGGAAGAGTTTGTTCTTCATATCGGTTCTTGTTTAGGTTAGAAATCTCAGGTGACAAGCTAAGGTAGTTTAGATCTTGTGTAAAACCAATTAAGAGTGTTGTAAACATGTTAATAAGATTTCTAATAAAGGATACTCAGTGTTTCTGGATTTGGAGAAAACGACCTTGAATTCATCCAGTTTTTCACAGAGCAAAAGAGCGAGACACATCAACAGGTAATGGGAAATCAAAACTCTGAGAAGAAGATTATGGAATCATCTATGAATCGTATCCGATAAATAAGAATAAAAATAACGCATAACAGTAGAGCAAGAACCGTCTTCTCTATTGGCTCGTAGCAAAATCTTACAAAGAAGCTAACAAAGTTAGAAAATTGTAGAAAAAGAAGGGAAGTTCATTTTCTTTTCTTCTTCCTTGTGTTTCTTTCTTTAGACAGTTCGACACGTGTATCGAACCCTCGTCTCCCTCTACGGCTATTCAAAATAAATAAATAGAAACTAAACCGACTGATTCAGAGTCAGTTCGGTTCAATTGAATGGGAATTTTGGTTTAATTCGGTTTGGTTCCTTTGAAATTTGAAAACTGGAAAAAATCAAACTTGAAGTGTATCTATCTTTTGTGCTCAATTCTCATGTTTCATCAGCTCAAAACCTTGCTCGATCTTCCATTACGGTTTCTTCATCTCAAGCAGATACATTGCTTAGTCCTCACTTCTCCGATTTTCTACACTCGCCGCGATCTCTTTCTCTCCCGTCTTCTCCGTTGCTGCACTGCCGCTTCTCAATTCCGCTACGCTCGTCGTTTATTATGTCAAATCCAAACTCCCAGCATTCAACTATGGGATTCGCTCGTTGGTCACTTCTCCGGCGGGGTTACTCTCAACCGTCGGTTATCGTTTCTTTCTTACCGTCAAATGCGGCGAAACGGCGTCGTCCCTAGCCGCCACACGTTTCCTCCGCTTCTCAAAGTGGTGTTCAAAATTAGAGACGCTAATCCGTTTCAGTTTCATGCTCATATCGTTAAATTTGGGTTGGATTCGGATCTTTTTGTGAGGAATTCGTTGATTTCGGGTTATTCTAATTGTGGATTATTCGAATTTGGAAGCCGTGTTTTTGATGGAACTGAAGATAAGGACGTGGTTTCTTGGACTGCGATGATTGATGGGTTTGTGAGAAACGATTCTTCTTTGGAAGCAATGACGTACTTCGTGGAGATGAAGAGGTCTGGAGTCGCGGCTAACGAAATGACGGTTGTTAGCGTCCTGAAAGCTACAGGGAAGGCTGAAGATGCTCGATTTGGGAGAAGCATTCATGGGTTTTACTTAGAAACAGGAAGAGTGAAGTGTGATGTGTTCATAGGGAGTTCTCTAGTAGATATGTATGGGAAATGTGGTTGTTATGATGATGCCCAGAAAGTGTTCGACGAAATGCCTAGCAGAAACGTGGTTACTTGGACCGCATTGATTACTGGATACGTGCAAGGCCGTTGCTTCGATAAAGGGATGTTGGTTTTCGATGAGATGCTAAAGAGTGATGTTGCGCCTAATGAGAAGACTCTAAGCAGTGTTCTTTCGGCATGTGCTCACGTAGGGGCACTTCACCGAGGAAGAAGGGTGCATTGTTATATAATTAAGAATTCGACTGATATAAACACTACAGTCGGAACAACATTGATTGATCTTTATGCCAAGTGCGGGTGTTTAGAGGAAGCTATATTGGTTTTCGAGAGACTTCGTGAAAAAAATGTCTATACTTGGACCGCAATGATTAATGGATTTGCAGCGCATGGATATGCAAGAGGCGCAGTTGATCTCTTTCATACCATGTTGAGTAGTCATGTTTCACCAAATGAAGTTACTTTCATCGCTCTCTTAAGCGCCTGCGCTCATGGAGGCCTTGTGGAAGAGGGTCGAAGGCTTTTCCTAAGCATGAAGGAACGTTTCAATTTGGAGCCAAATGCGGATCACTATGCGTGTATGGTTGATTTATTTGGAAGAAAAGGTTTGCTAGAAGAGGCAAAAGCTTTGATAGAGAGAATGCCAATGGAGCCAACAAATGCGGTATGGGGAGCTCTGTTCGGGTCTTGTTTGATACACAAAGACTATAGGTTAGGTAAATACGCAGCCTCTCGTGTGATCAAGCTGCAACCTAGTCACAGCGGGAGATACACACTCTTGGCTAATTTGTACTCGGAATCCCAAAATTGGGATGATGTCGCTCGGGTAAGAAAGCAAATGAAAGATCAACAGGTGGTGAAATCACCGGGATGTAGCTGGATCGAAGTGAAAGGTAAGCTTCATGAATTCATAGCTTTCGATGATAAGAAACCCCTTGAATCTGATGATTTGTACAAGACTCTCGACAACGTAGGGGTGCAAATGAGATTGCCTGATGAATTGGAAGATTTGACTTCTCAATCTTGAGTCTTGACTTGGGACCTTTACCATTTTCCTCATAAGCCTTCTCTGAAACTATCCATAACACTCAAGTTATATCCACCTCTACTCTTCAACCTCTCGGCAAATTTCTCGGATATCTCAAGATGCAATAGCACAGGCTTCTTCTTCTCTTCTGAATATCTACAGGAAAAACTATTGTTTGCAACTTTAACATCTGAAGTTGAGTGTTCTTGATTCTCACATCTGGACTTGAGTGCTTCAATGGCGATTTCTGGAGGGATCTTAGGGTTTCTGGCTAGCTGTTTGCATGTCTCCATTGTTAGTTTCTTGTAGTTGAGACATCGACATATCTCTGTTCGATCTTGGGGTGTTAGATTCGGATGAGACTGTACAACAACAATAACAAAACAAAAATTAGAAACTGACAAAATCATTATTTCAATAATTTGTTTTTGAAAATTTGAACTGTTTCTTTAAATTCCAATAAAACATGTAAACTGTATATGAATAAACTGTTAGTTTTCACTTTTCACATATACTATATCTTAAGTGTAACTGAGAGTGCCACCTTACCAGAAATATTCCTTTTACAGATATTTTTACAAATAGTATTACTAGAAAGAAACAAGAAGAAGCATACAGTCAAGACTGTGGGCTTGTGGGTCTGACATGAACCCCACGGCAGTAACAAGACAGAGTGAAGAATCTAAGGATGACTCCAAACCTTCTAAATCATATATATACATCCATGTGTGTATATTAATACACATTAATCTCAAACTACAAATCTTTTCTTTGGTACATTTTCGGTTTTATATTAAAACTTAAGACTTAGTTTGGCTTTATATCTCAAAGTCTCAAACTTCAAATCTTTATGATGAATAAAAGAATAGTTGACTCTATTTCAACTCTTCTTAATAAATGTATAAAGCCAAAATGTATTAATAAGCAAATGGTATTGAAATCTGTCTGGCACTTGTCATCTTCTATATGTCCAATACATATAGAAAATTAAAATTATTCTCTATATTCTTGTCTCACTTTTGCAGAAAAAAAATGAATCAAATAGTTGGTGAAGAGATTCAAGAAAACAAAAACATACTCTAATATGGACTTAGAGAAGAAAAAACTGACCTGTAGATAGATGTCAATTCCTCTGTAAACTCCATCAAAGCAATCTCTAGCTGAATCTGGCAAACTCTCTGCAACACCAAGAAACTTGGAGACCTTCAAATTCTGATCTGGAGATATCTCTCTCAAATACTTATCAATCAATTTCCCAGTTTCTTTCATATTCCTCTCTCTTGATTCTTCTTCTTCTCTGTTCTTCACAAACACTTTTAGTAATCTTATCACAAGATCCACATTGTAGAAACCGCTCTCTTTGCTTCCTCCTGCAGGTATCAAAAGATCATCAAGTGTTGCTTGTTCCAGCATTTCTCCTATTAGGGTTTCTAAACCAATTCTCGACTCTCTACTTAGGCTAAAACTGGATAAAACCCGAAGAACCCAAAAGAGTTTCCTGCAAGAAAACGCTGTTTTCCCTGCGAAAATCACTCCTTTAACCGCTGTGTCAGCTAAATTGGAGTACTCGAGCTTGTTTCTTATAAGCTCTGTAGTTGTTCTTGATTTGGTTTGGAGTTTTTTCTTGAAATAGTGGAGGAGAAATCTGGTTAGGACTAAGCTTTTTATGTTGGTTTTGTAAGCTTCAATAATCATAATTAGCTTCAAGATGATCTTCGGGGAAAGATTTGTCATATCGTCGAACCACCACTCGTTGCTTCTTCCGCAAGAAACAGACCGTGAAATATACCTACTGTCTGATTCCGGCGTGTTCTTGGCCATATCAGGAGAAAGAGAGGATGCTAAAGAAGAGAGAGAAGAAGAAGAAAATGTTTCTGAATCCCGAGAGATTTTGGTCAAAGCTGCGAAGATGAGTTTATCTACAAGACCATACGAATCTGCTTGGAGGATCACTTGCTCGCAGTTCTTGAGACACAAAACGATGTCGCTCCAAGACCCATATAACACTTCTTCTAGAAACTTCTCGGTCTGAAGGAAGAGATTAGAGAAACAGAACTTCTCCGACATGCCTAGAAAAACAGAACAGCAGTACAAAGTCGAGACATTTGAGACATCGATTGAGATTTCTCCGTTGCTATAACAGAACCTTGAAACCAGCTCGAACCCATCTGGTCCACCTGGAAAATCATCAATCTCGATAGTGATGATTCTCTTTTTCTTGTTTCTCTTCTTCTTGCTCTGTTTAATCATCTTCCTCAAACTTCCAGAGTACTTTGAAATCACGTCCTAAAACAGAGCATAGAGAGATTTAAGAACAGAGCATATATAATCAAGATAATGAATTTTGAATTGTGTTTTAGGTTTGGTTCTTTACCTGATTGAGGAAGAATTTGTATTGGCCATTGAGATTGATCTTAAGATCGTTGAGAGGAGACATTTCATAGAATAACTATAAGTCTTGTGACTTGTGTGAGCTTTTTTTTTTTCTGTTCTTCCTCTGTTTTTTTTTTTTTTTTCTTTTGGATTGTATAGAGCAATAATTATAGTGGGCACATGTAAATGAGTGGATATATATAGTGTTTCATTTGTCTTTATTTACACCTGTAAAATTGCACACCAATAAATAGATTAAATCTAACTTTCAAAGGGAAATTAGAGGGAAGTAAGACAAAGTTTATGTTGAACTAGTGTAATGTTACAACAAAATAAAGAAAACCACATAAAATTTCAAATTATCTCAAATTCCCAAAATTTTATTTTTTCCCTGCTTGTTATGTTTTGTTAATTTTTAAGAGAATGATATTGAATGTTGATTTCGATTTCTTTAAGAAGGATTGACTTTTATGAAATAATAATCATTTTCATATTTTTTTATCTTTTTTTCACTGAAATTATATTAGATTTCAAGGTTCGGAAAGGAATACAAACCATAAGAAAACGAGAATAAACTAAAGAGAAACATAATGCTCCATCCTTAACTTACAACAAGAAGAGGAATGGAATTTACGAGAACCATTTTTCATGGTAGTAACCATAGTTTTTTACACGAGCTTTTCAAAATTAAACTTGAATATAAAAACTTCAAATTATTTGAAAGGTCACTAAATGAATACATCATACTAACCTCAACATAAATATTGAATATTTTCTTTTCGTTTTTCCTTCAACTTCTTTTTTTCATTTTACTGAAGAATTTGGAATTTCGTTGTAGTGCATGTGAATATGTGGGGTCTAGGGGAAAAAGATATTTCTGTTTTAAGTGCGAGTCTATGACGAGCTTTTTTCATCGTATTTCCATATCCGACCATGTTTATGACAATGAAAAGACATAAATATTATAAATATAAATCCTTATCATCCCCACAAATACGAAAGCCCAATTTTTTCTTATCCTATTTTAGTTTCAGAAACTATATGATCCACAAAAATCTTCATGCTATTTTTCCATTAAAATCATACAGCGATAAAATGATTGGCAATGACCAAAAAAAAAGACATTTAAGAAAAACCAGAGGGCAAAGGGACAACTAAAAATAACACAAAAGACAAAACTAATTAATAACACATCTCAATTTGCAAATGGCGTCGCTAACCATATTTTATTTTCCGTCGATATTGGTGTTAATTTAGTAAATTATATACTTCATGCTTTGCCATAATTTATCAATTTTCAAAATGATAGCATGGGATATTCTCAGAGCATAATCAGACCAAAACAAGTGAAAAACAATAGCCATTGATTGAAGTACCAAAAAGACTTTCACTTCACACAATAAGTAAACAAAAGGCCAAGACATTGTAATGCCGTTGCAGAAGTCGATAAAACAGATGAGAAACTAAACCCTAACACTTATGAGCAATCTCTCAGTTACGATACCTGCTTCCACGTTCGCGACCATAGTCTCTGTCTCTGTCCCGATCATGGTCATAGTCATAGTCCCGCTCCTTGCCTCTTTCCCTCTCTCGGCTTCTGCTTCTGCTTCTGCGTCTATCCTTATCGTAGTGATGATCTCTACCACGGTCTCTTTGCCTGTCCCTGCTTCTCTCTCTTCCATCTTTACCAATACCTGCCACATGCATATAAACTATGAACAACCACATTGGATCATGACCTTTTTATTTTGGGGAAGCAGCAGCAATAAACATCTTTAATCTTTGTTATCTTCCTCTATATATAATCAGTTAAAAGAAGAAAACTCTTAACAAGGAACAACACTGTTTATTGGAGATCCCACAAGGTTTGGGCTATATAGGCAAGTTATATGCAAACTTAATGTGAAAATTCCAACAAATCCCTCCCTGCATATATGTTAAGTCTCACTAAAGTGTCTAGATGACAAGCGGAAACTTTCTTTGAAGACTATTCACTACACAGCTAGTAGGTATATATCGAGCCAAATAGATTTCTATCATAGTGGAAGGGTTCTGTTCATAAGCTCAACCTATTTGATGATTGCATAGAGATAGTATTTATAAGTTAAAATTAAACAGAAATTACCTAGTTCCTCGACTTCCCACCCAGCACGACCAGCAGCAACAGCAGGTCTGGTGTCAGCTTGGCTTGTTTTAACACGGTACTTCTTCTTTAGATTCCCAAACTCATCATACATTTCACCATCATCCTGAAATATTTATGACATATAAGTCAAATGGTATATACCAAAAAACTGAGAACTCCTCCGAATTGCAACAAACAAACAAAAAACATAGAACTCTTCAGGGAAAGCATATCTTACTTCTTCAGCCTCACGCCTACGTCTCTTTGTTTCCTCTAATTCTTGTTCATCCAATTCCTTGTAACCACCACCACGACCTCCCCTATTTAGAGAAAAGAAACGAATAAGCACTGGTCTTTTAAGAGAGGACAGCCTTCCAAACTGAAACCTTAACGTTTATTAATGCAACTCTAATTTGGCAAAAATAAAACGTTACAAGTGGGATATATCAGTTGTCGAAGAAAACAAGCTCGTTCAAATTGCAGAAGAGAGTATTGAGACTTTTTCCCAGGTATCTATCAGGCCATGTGGCCCATGTCTAAAAGCAGAATAAAAATACCCTGCTGACAACAAAACTAAAAACATTGATGCAGAAAATCTATGATCTATTCTACATTCACTGTGAAAATCATTTATAATCCAAATCATCATCTTGAACATTGCAAAATAACAATACAAAGGCAATCTTATCATTGGCATTGAGTCATACCTCACACCACCTTCATTCTGACCAGGTTTATTGGTGTTGCAGATATTACATTTTAAACGCTTAGCCCAGTTGACATTGCCACACCTGAAAGAATTAAAACAAAAAGAAAAAGTTGCTTTTGGATTTTTCCTGGATTAAAAACCAAAGAACGGAACCAAAGCATATATTCTGACAAAACCAAAGTACATTTATAAGAACCCGCATTCACACAGAGCAGCCTCTTAGTTAAGCTACTAGAAGACACATAGCATAACTTGCATTTGATTTAAAACTCTTCACAAACATAACTTCCTAGAAAGATCAAGACTACAAGCCACCCACGTTTCACATTCCATATTTCAGATTAACAGCCATTTGAAGGAAAATTACGAAATTAGAATCAACATTCAAAAAAGGAGGAAAAAAATGTGCCCCCACACATAATTTGGGCCGGTTTTAGTGACACTGACACACAGAGCGGGCCATCACTTCTTTCTAAGTAAAGAGTCAACTGACATCACCAAAAACATTGATATACAACTATACAAGCTACATTCCTTCACATACATCCAACAAATTATTTTATATCCAGCAACGCCATATGCCATCTGAATGTTCTCTTTTGCTACTGATGAAAAATAAATTATCTGTCGCAATGTGTTTTAATCAAGCACCAAACGCTCAATATCCTCTGAAACTGAACTAACTATTTCGAACCTAATAGGAATGCTTACATTGGACAAGCCCAATCATTTGGACCAAAGAGACCAGTAGGAGCACCACTGGGCTGCTTCCCCGGTGCCCCACCATCAGCCCCTCCACCTCGACCCCTTCCACGACCACCAGCACCCATGCTGCCACCAGATGCACCAGCTGGTCTAGCAGTTCCACAGCGGTTACAAACCCCACGGAATGCAAAATTCACATTTGTACAACTGCCAATAGAAGAGTATGAGAACACTACGGCTAAAAAAAATGAAATATAAAAAACTAACAATTTAACGGAAACAAGAGCTAGATGAAGCTCCTCACCGATGTCACATCACAGACCTTGTATTTGGGCACATCCAGTCACCATCTTGCTGCCATGGCTTTGCCGACGGATCAGCCTGAACTCTACCCCTTCCAGCACCTTCATTTGTTTCCTGAGGACCTCCATTGAATTCAACAAACTCAACTGCATCACCAGCATTTTTATTCTTCGACTCAGCCATAAAAACTCCAATAGTGTTTCCATGAAAATCTTTATTATTGAACCATTCAACAGCAGCCAAAGCAGCATGGGGATCCTCATAGGTAACAGTAGCATCTCCCTTGGGCTCATCAGTCTCTTTATCCCGGTACAGCCATACCTTGGGAGTACCAGTTCGTTTGTCTCTCTAAAACCATGTAGGGAAAATGTAAGAAACTCTAAAATCTAGTGACCCATAAAGATTGCAATGACGTCAAAACAAAAGCAACAATTAGTACCTGGCCAATACCATACCTTAAGCAACCCAATGGTCCCAAAATACTCAGCCAACATATTCTCATCAGTTCCTAATGGAAGATTTGAAACGTAGACTGATCCATTAGTAGGAGCGCCTTTCGTTGAATATCCCGCCATCGTACTCCAATTTCATCAAAAACAAAGCCGTCACGGATCTGTATAAGACAATCCCACAACTTCACTTCAATTTACCATCATAAACACTCACTTCAATTGTTCATCGTAAGCATACAAACAAACAAAGATAGAGACTAATCAACATTGAAACCTCATTAGGAATCGTTATAGTCACATCAACAAACATTCAAGATAGAGATCGATAAGAAACTTGAAAGCGAGTAAACGCGTGATAGCCATTTCTTATACAAGTCAAGAACGAGCCATAGGAGTAGATACAAATAACATGGAGACATTGAAACCCCAAATTTTGAGCTAAAGAACAAACCATGAGAACAAAAAGAAGATTCGAGGATACAGCATAACGCAACGAGAGAGGGGAAAAGAAGATGAAAGGAGAAGAGCGAGATAGAGAGGAATCTGACCAGCGATGAGGATCCAGCGGCGAATGGGACCTCGTCGGATTAGGGTTTGAAAGTGCCTCGAGTGAGAGAGAAAGAAAGAGACGTAGATCTCGCGAATAAAGATTATTTTTGGTGGTTATTTGCAATTTCATAATATTATTTTTATTTTATTTTTCCCGTAAAATTGTAATTTTGTTGTTTTATTTTCCGTGGTTAAGGAATTAATCCACACACTATTAGATTAAAAAAAACTCATTAACTATCCTTTCCACTTCCCAAGAAGACTTAGATCCATAGCAATATTCTCACATGATACATTTACACATGAAGTAACCAAGGAAAAATTCGTGCAAGGTTTAGTTGCATTACTTACTTAAGGCCCTCTTCAAAAGCAAAATTTAAATTCTAAGATTCAAAGGTGAAAATAACAGCGGATTGGCATATATGACTATCAATTTATAGAGAAAATAAAAGGAAATTTGATTTTAAATGCTATAATAATCAATTTATAGAGAAAATGATGAGCTAAATTATGAATATGGTCGTTGGAGATTGTGATTATTTGTGAACCCAAGTTTGAATGTGCACTGTTCAAATCCTAATTAGGTTGGATCAGCAAAAAGCAGCTACTCAAGCTCTTGAGAAGAAGACGTCGTATTTGATTAATCAGGACACAACCGAGATTAGTGTGCTGGTTATAGGTAATGAGAGGGCGGGTGGTAAGGGTTCATGGCCGTTACGTTGGGTCAAGTCATGATCACACAACATGTTTATTGGGCTGAATTGAAACGTGATTAAGTTTTCTTGTTCTATCACTTTTCATTTAGACTAATCAAGTAGGTAGTGATAAACTTAATTTGTAAATTGTAATATCTTTTTCCATGTTACAAACTCGGACGTCTCTCGTCCATGAGCCTGATATCTGATGATCAAGGCTAATGATGTTAACTGACCCAATGTTCATTCTCGATCAGTTGTTCCACAAACTTATCGATCACATTCCGGAGGTTTTGCTATGTGTTCTTCGTCCAGCTGATCGTGTTAATTACACCGTCATTGACATGATTCAAACTTGGGAACGTTGTCTTTGTTGTTGTGTTTTTTTTTTTTTTTTTTAATTTGCATCTATCTATAAAAATATATATTTTTGCCATGTCATTTTAGAGAAAAGTTACAAAGATGAGAATATCTTAAACATATCTAATCAGAGAACAGTGTGTTTTCATAATGACCATAAGCATTTCATATTTACTTTGGTTTTTTCTTCGTTTTCAATTATCTTTGCATTGCAATGTTGTCTCTCAAATTAGCTGGAACAACGATGTACATACAATGACGTGTATATATTTACCAATCCTAAATCTGAACCAAACTAAACTACAATTAATCTCCAAATTAAATAGACTATATATTGTGCACAAAAAAAAAAGAAAAAAATAGACTATATATTATATATACGTACTAAACTAAGGTGGTGTTATTCAATGATGGATTTTAATAGAATTGAAATCCAACACTAATCCAGTGTTATTAACCTAATGATTCAAAATCTAACTCTAATAGATTTTAAAGTTTGGTGTTATTCAACTAAGATTTAAAATGCTTCATTAAAATCCAGTGTTATTCAAAACTAAAAGACTTGTAAAATCTTTGTATATCAAATCATTTGAAATGAAACATCTTTGGATTTCATGAGTAAATGATTAGAATCATAATCCAAGATATACTGCAGAGATTTTGAACTCCACACAAACAGATTGTTAAAAACAATATCAGAAATCAAATCTAAACCTTTAAGAATTGACTTTAACTCCATGAATGAATAACACCCCCTAAATCACAGTGAGTTCACAGTTAAATGCGATTGTTTTATTATTACAAGTTCCTATTTTAGGGTTAATTAGACTGGTTTTTTCAACATATCTCTTACAGTCTTTATATGTAATAAAAATTTAAGAGAAAAGAGCGGAAGTTGTCCGTAAAAAAACAAAAGAAACTGTCAAAAAAAGACTGTAAGATCTCCACTAAAACTGGGTTTAAAGAACATGAAAACAAAAAACAAAAACCACTTCCCCTATTCATAAGCCAAGATAAATCTCAAACAGCTATATTACAATCCATACCTAATAATAGATCACAAAAACTCTTATATTTAAGAAGCTCACAAGCTCTTCAGTTTTGGATCATAAGCTCACAAGTTTTTGTTTGAATAACAAAGCAAAAGGCACTAACACTAACAATCAATAAGTGAAGAATAACTAATAATGGCTGGAGGAGCCTTTGTATCAGAGGGTGGTGGTGGAGGAAACAGCTATGAAGGCGGAGTCACCGTCTTTGTCATCATGACCTGTATTGTGGCCGCTATGGGAGGTCTCCTCTTTGGTTATGACCTCGGAATCTCAGGTTTGTTAAATTCCACATTCGCCTTTTTCTTCTTCGGGTTGAGTTATTTTGGTTCGCTTTTGCTGTCCACTCTAGCTTCGGGCAATGTAATGTGACTTCTTTTGTTGTATAGGAGGAGTGACATCTATGGAGGAGTTTCTGAGCAAGTTTTTCCCGGAGGTGGATAGGCAAATGCACGAAGCGAGGCGCGAGACTGCTTACTGCAAATTCGATAACCAATTGCTCCAGTTGTTCACTTCCTCACTCTACCTCGCGGCTCTCGTGTCTTCCTTTGTAGCTTCGGCTGTCACAAGGAAGTACGGACGTAAAATCTCCATGTTTGTTGGAGGGGTTGCTTTCCTCATAGGTTCTCTATTTAACGCATTTGCCACCAATGTCGCAATGCTCATCATTGGTAGATTGTTGCTCGGAGTCGGTGTTGGATTTGCTAATCAGGTGAGTCAACAACTCAACATGGTCATAGTGTGTTCATTATGTAGTTTAGATCTAGACATTCTGCTTTGGACTCGGTTTGGTTCAATTTTTTTTATGCGGTTTGTTTGCACAAATCTGGTTGGGATATTTGATTTGTTTGCTATAAAAATATTGTTACCGCTTAGTTTGAAATAAAGTCGGATTTGGTTTCGGTATGGCTAATCTTTCGATCATGGTTAACTTTATTTTTCCACAGTCTACGCCGGTTTATCTCTCGGAGATGGCTCCTGCGAAGATCCGAGGAGCACTTAACATCGGGTTTCAAATGGCTATAACCATCGGGATTTTAGTTGCGAACCTAATCAACTATGGAACATCTCAAATGGCTAGGAACGGATGGAGAGTGTCCTTGGGTTTAGCCGCTGTTCCGGCAGTTGTTATGGTTATCGGATCTTTTGTCTTGCCCGATACACCAAACTCGATGCTCGAGAGAGGCAAGTACGAACAAGCGAGAGAGATGTTGCAAAAGATTCGTGGAGCTGATAATGTAGATGAGGAGTTTCAAGATCTATGTGATGCTTGTGAGGCTGCTAAGAAAGTGGAGAATCCATGGAAGAACATTTTCCAACAGGCAAAATACAGACCCGCGCTTGTTTTCTGTTCTGCGATTCCTTTCTTCCAACAGATTACTGGTATCAATGTGATCATGTTCTACGCCCCCGTTCTCTTTAAAACTCTCGGTTTCGCGGATGATGCCTCGCTCATCTCAGCGGTTATTACGGGTGCGGTCAATGTTGTCTCTACCCTTGTCTCCATCTATGCGGTTGACAGATACGGAAGAAGGATTCTCTTCCTTGAAGGAGGCATCCAAATGATCATTAGCCAGGTAAAAATGCTAGTTCCGAGTTTCATATACATGTTGGAAAAATGAAATATTTTCAGTTCATAATGTATATAAGTGATGATTGCGTTCCTTACATATATTGTTTGATGGGTCATTCTGCAGATCGTTGTTGGTACCCTGATTGGTATGAAGTTTGGAACAACAGGATCAGGGACCTTAACACCTGCAACAGCAGATTGGATCCTAGCTTTCATATGTTTGTATGTTGCAGGATTTGCATGGTCATGGGGTCCATTAGGATGGTTAGTACCAAGTGAGATCTGTCCATTGGAAATCAGACCAGCGGGACAAGCCATCAACGTCTCTGTCAACATGTTCTTCACTTTCCTCATTGGACAATTTTTCCTCACGATGCTTTGCCACATGAAGTTTGGTCTCTTCTACTTCTTTGGAGGAATGGTTGCAGTCATGACCGTCTTCATCTACTTCTTGTTGCCGGAGACAAAAGGGGTTCCTATTGAAGAAATGGGAAGAGTATGGAAGCAACATCCGTTCTGGAAACGTTACATCCCAGATGATGCTGTTATTGGAGGAGGTGAAGAAAACTATGTCAAGGAGGTTTGAAGAGCCAAGAAAGTGAATGTTTCAAAGTCTAGGCATTGGTTTTGCTTAAGAACAGGGTTTTTGGTTGCTTTTTAAGGGAATAAGGCAGCAAGATGTGAGAATCTGCAGCCGAGACGAAAAGAAGAAGAAGAATGGAAGTTGTTGAAAAAAATCTTAAATGTTGAATTCTTTTACCTGATTCATTCCAATAAATCCTAGCAGAATTTGTTTCTTTGCATTCAGTTGCATTTGATTTTCTATTCTTTTTACCACCAAATGGGAATATTTCTAAAAAAATGCAAAAGCCAAATGTGTTCACAGGGAACAAGACTGCAATGATCAGTCATGCTTCCAGTGAACAATCTACGAAAGACCTAACTAGACAATGCCAAGCATAAGCAAATAATTTCCCTATGATGCTTGCTTGGTTCTGATAAGAGCTCAAGTCTTTTCTATTCGTAAAATTCGTTGCAAGATATACACATCAAATGAGAAATGGGGGATGAAGATTACAATTGAAGAGATTTGCTTAAACAAAATACAGTGTTGAGACAAAGGAATACCGGTGGGAAGAGAGACGATTAAGCAACAGATATTGAGTTCAAGAGACCGTCAATGTACTCCTTAAGCTTGGCCTTTGTAATAGCACCTTCCCTTCTGCTCCCTGGAACTTCCTTCCCGTCCTTGAAGAGAATGAAATGCGGTAAACCGTAAACCTTGAAATCCGCTATTAATTTTGGATTAGCGTCGTGATCAATCTTTACAATCGTCAATTTGTCACCATATTCCTGAGAAAAAAGGAAACATTTTGAGTTTTAGAAACCAAGAAAACTCAGAATTGAATCTATCCTCTAAGCACTTCCAAAAAAAAACTCACTCGCTGACATTTTTAGTAGTTCTAGAGCTAATGGTATATGATTAACAATAGTTTCTCATACATTAAATCTAAAATTACAATTTTGGATCACCAAATCATGCGTGAAGTCTCTGATTTCAAATAAACTGATATCGTTCAATTTCAAACTCTCACGATTCTCCCGCAAGAACTGATGATTACAAATTCCGTGAACACCAACATGGAAAATCAAAAGAGAGAATCGACATATCAAACCTGAGATAAGGCTTCCATAGCGGGATAGATCAATTTGCAGGGACCGCACCAAGTAGCGACGAACTCAACCAAAACCGGCCGGTCCGATTCCAGAACCGTACTCGAAAACTCACTCTCTCCAATCTCTTTGATTCCGCTGCATCTTATCGCCGAACTAGAGAATTTCTTGGTTCTTCTACCACCAGAGCTTAAGGAAAGCAGGTGGCGGTTAGCCGCGACGGAGGTGACCTGGACTGAGCTCAGAGGTTTGACGGAAACGGAGGTTGCCGATGAACATGAACGAACCGGAGGATTGAGATATGATTGAATAAGAATCGTCGAACTGGAGACGATAGAGTCCATGGCTTCTTCTTCCACGTTCTCCTCCTAATCCTCTGTGTTTCACTCATATTCAGAAGAAAACGTTTGTGTGGCATAGGAAGGAAAGCAGGTGATGACTTTTCTCGAGGTCCACTACTTTTTTATTCTCTTAATTTTGCCCCATACTTTGAGGAAATCATTTAAAGCTCCTTACTAATTGGGCCTAGGCCCATAATTGAAAAAGTCCTCGCCAGAGTTGTGTATAACAATGACCTTTTTTCTTCGTTCTACTTCTTTAGAACCTCCCTCTAAAGTCGTTCGAGCAGAGCTTTAAAGAAAAATACTTAGGTTTTTCAGTATAGTAATTTTCATTGTTTAAAACACAAGTCGTTTGGTATTTTGGACAAGTCAAAGTCGAAAGCCGGTCCAATCCGATCTATTAAACAAGCTTTTTCGTGATTTGGTGTGCTCTTGTGGCGGATTTCGATTTTTTTAACACCAAAACAATTAATTATCGGCATAAATCGGTAATGACAACAACATACCAAACAACATTATTATTATTATTATAGATTTGGGTACTGATTCTTAACAGAAAGTTTTTTCTTTTACTAGAAAACATTCCAAAATTACAAGAACAATGTGACCTACATTTTCGACAATAGAAACCCCTTTTAAGAGCTGTGGAATAGGCTTGATGACACTTGACAGCTCGCTTCCACATTCCTCCGCATAGGCAGACATATCACTAACGTTCCTGTCTAAGGTGTCATAGTCATTGGTTGCCAAAGCTTTAAGAGAAGATTCAAGCAAATGGATACCAAGGCTAAAAAGCTCTGAACATATCTTATAGGATTCCTTAGAACTGCGATCGGTTGTGCTGTTTGTGAGTGACTGGAAATGCTTCATCAGATCTAAGGTTTTTTGAAAATCATAATTGATCAAAAATTTGGCGAGATTAGAAATATCCAATGTTGCAATTTGAGGGGATGATTTCATGAACTCATAGCAAAATGACGCATTGACATTTCTGTGTGTGCAGATGCCCCTGATTTCACTTGTTGTAACCTTCGTACTAAATTTTGCATATGATGAGACAACAAAAAGAAGTAAAACTACTATAGGAACCAATAAAAAGTTGTTCTTGAGGTATGCAACCATTTTTTTTTTCCACTTTTCGAGAACTTATGTGAGATTATTATAGGGTGAAAACATATCTTTGAATTTAAAAACTAACAAACTTTGTTTGGATTTTGCCGTAAATTCTGCCGATTATGTACCATGAAAAAATGATTTGAATAATTCGAAGATATGATTATGATTCTCCTATCTTTGTTTGATTTTTTTCCTAATTGCTTTAACTTATTATATCACTAGATAAGATCCACGTAAATACGTGGGTTAAAAATAAATGAAAAAACAAGTCGACACATTTTTTACAAGATTTAATGTGATAATTTTTGTTTTTAACCAGATTTCAGTCTTACACATTACATTTTTCAATACAATTTGACTATTTTATTATTATAAACCGGATTTTAATTATATGCATTCCATATTAACGAAAAATAGCTAAATATTTTAGATAAAAAGAATAGATGCATTATATCAAATTTATTTATTAGTTATATAGTATTAAAACAATTAAAAATTAAGAAAACATAATAGTAAAAAACAAAATCCACAAAAGAATTTGGAAAACCAACATTAATTTAAATATAATTTATATAAACTGTAATCTCATACGTAATAATTTTATCTCATGTCAAACTATTTTGAATGATTTTAAAGTAATAAAATAAAATATATGTTAAAAAATTTAGAAATCATAATATTATCAAAGTCGTTTGGTATTTTGGACAAGTCAAAGTCGAAAGCCAGTCCAATCCGATCTATTAAACAAGCTTTTTCGTGATTTGGTGTGCTCTTGTGGCGGATTTCGATTTTTCTTAACACCAAAACAATCAATTATCGGCATAAATCGGTAATGACAACAACATACCAAACAACATTATTATTATTATTATTATTATATTATTATAGATTTGGGTACTGATTTTTAACAGAAAGTTTTTTCTTTTACTAGAAAACATTCCAAAATTACAAGAACAATATGACCTACATTTTCGACAATAGAAACCCCTTTTAAGAGCTGTGGAATAGGCTTGATGACACTTGACAGCTCGATTCCACATTCCTCCGCATAGGCAGACATATTACCAACGGTCCTGTTTAAGGTGTCATAGTCATTGGTTGCCAAAGCTTTAAAAGCGATTTCAAGCGAATGGATACCAAGGCTAAAAAGTTCTGAACATAGCTTATAGGAATCCTTAGAACTGCGATCGGTTGTGCTGTTTGTGAGTGACTGGAAATGCTTCATCAGATCTAAGGTTTTTTGAAAATCATAATTGATCAAAAATTTGGCGAGATCAGAAATATCCATTGTTGCAATTTGAGGGGATGATTTCATGAACTCATAGCAAAATGACGCATTGACATTTCTGTGTGTGCAGATGCCCCTGATTTCACTTGTTGTAACCTTCGTACTAAATTTTGCATATGATGAGACAACAAAAAGAAGTAAAACTACTATAGGAACCAATAAAAAGTTGTTCTTGACGTATGCAACCATTTTTTTTTTTCCAATTTTCGAAAACTTATGTGAGATTATTATAGGGTGAAAACATATCTTTGAATTTAAAAACTAACAGATTTTGTTTGATTTTTGCCATAAATCCTGCAGATTATGTACCATGAAAAAATGATTTGAATAATTCGAAGATATGATTATGATTTTCCTATCTTTGTTTGATTTTTTTCTTGATTGCTTTAACTTATTATATCACTAGATAAGATCCACGTAAATACGTGGGTTAAAAATAAATGAAAAAACTAGTGGACACATTTTTTACAAGATTTAATGTGATAATTTTTGTTTTTAACCAGATTTCAGTCTTACACATTACATTTTTCAATACAATTTGACTATTTTATTATTATAAACCAGACTTTAATTATATACATTCCATATTAACGAAAAATAGCTAAATATTTTAGATAAAAAGAATAGATGCATTATATCCTTTTTTTTTTGTTAAAGTAGATGCATTATATCAAATTTATTTATTAGTTATATAGTATTAAAACAAAAATTAAGAAAACATAATAGTAAAAAATAAAATCCACTAAAGAATTTGGAAAACCAACATTAATTTAAATATAATTGATATAAATTGTAATCTCATACGTAATAATTTTATCTCATGTCAAACTATTTTGAATGATTTTAAAATAATAAAATAAAATATATGTTAAAAAATTTAAAAAGAATAGATGCATTATATCAAATTTATTTATTAGTTATATAGTATTAAAACAAAAATTAAGAAAACATAATAGTAAAAAACAAAATCCACAAAAGAATTTGGAAAACCAACATTAATTTAAATATAATTGATATAAACTGTAATCTCATACGTAATAATTTTATCTCATGTCAAACTATTTTGAATGATTTTAAAGTAATAAAATAAAATATATGTTAAAAAATTTAGAAATCCTAATATTATCAAGAGGAAATGTTAGAAATGCCTCTTTTAAATACTATTTTCAAAAATACCCCATTTTCTGGCCAATTTTATTTTTGTCCTCTTTTAATTTCATAACTATTTAACCCTTATTTGAAAAATACTTAAGCTTGCAAATAAAAAATTAAATTTTCCTGTATTTTTTTGGCGGAAAACGTGATTCCGTAATTTTTGGTTTTAAAATGATTTACAAAGGTTTTTAAAAGAGAAAAATGTCATTTAATCTGCCAACTTTCAAATTGTGGTCATTTTAAACATGAATTTCATAATAAGCCATTTTAAAAATCTACTAAATGTTGACTGCCGTATTGCACATCAGACTGCGTTGACCTAGCCAATATAGACATGACGTTAAAATCTGATAACAGAACAACTAGCAGCCGTTATCAAGCATTAACTACTCTGTTAGTCGAATCACCAACTTTCAAATTTAAGTCATTTTAAACATGAACTTCGTATGAGGCCATTTTAATCATCAACCAAACGTTGACTAACATATTGGACATCAGATTACGTTGATCTGGAAAAAAAAGACATGACGTTAAAATCTGCTAACATAACCACCAACAGCTATTATCAGTCGTGAACAACCAACAAAATTAAAACAAAAGAAGACATAATACGTAGAACCAAGACACAAACCAAACACCAAAGACACAAAGACACTAGCAACCAAGAACAAATTTCTCATTTGGTGCCTAACACTAAACATCCATCTAGGTGAATTCCACATCATAAACACTCTTATAGAGCATTTATGCTTTCTAAAAAAAGAATCCATAAATTTTGAAAACGACAAACTTGGTTCTATTTTCTCAATTTTCTTATCATTGTCTAATGTCTTACTTTCACCTCTCTTGATCTCATTATTCATCTGCACACTAGTAACCAAGAACAAATTTCTCATTTTTGGTTACTAGTGTCTTTGTGTCTTTGGTATTTTATTTGTGTCTTAGTTCTTTGTATTATGTTTTCTGTTGGCTTAGTTTTGTTGTTCGTTAACGACAGATAACGAATGTTAGTGGTTATGTTACATGATTCTAACGTGATGCCTTTTTTGGTCGGGGGTCAACGCAAGATCTAGTGTCTATTATGTTAGTTAATGTTTACTTGATGATTAAAATGGCCTAAATTTTAGGGTGAATATCTCAAAAATAATACAAATATCTTATGTTATTGGTAAGATTACTTTGAGAGTCTAAAATAGTCATTAACGAAGATAAGTTATGGGGTGGCATTTTTCGTGATTTGGTGTGCTCTTGGTGGATTTTGATTTTTCTTAACACTAAAGCAATTAATTATCGGCGCCAATCGGTAATGACAACAACATTATTATTACCCTTATTATTATTATTAATTTATTATTATAAATTTAGATACTGATTTTTAACATAAAGTTTTTTCTTTTCTTAGAAAACATTCCAAAATTACAAGAAAAATGTCAGATACATTTTGGACAATAGAAACCCCTTTTAAGAGCTGTGGAATAGGCTTGATAACACTTGACAGCTCGCTTCCACAGTCCTCCGCATAGTCAGACATATTACCAACGGTCCTGTTTAAGGTGTCATAGTCATTGGTTGCCAAAGCTTTAAAAGCGATTTCAAGCGAATGGATACCAAGGCTAAAAAGTTCTGAACATAGCTTATAGGAATCCTTAGAACTGCGATCGGTTGTGCTGTTTGTGAGTGACTGGAAATGCTTCATCAGATCTAAGGTTTTTTTAAAATCATAATTGATCAAAAATTTGGCGAGATCAGAAATATCCAATGTTGCAATTTGAGGGGATGATTTCATGAACTCATAGCAAAATGACGCATTGACATCTCTGTGTGTGCAGATGCCCCTGATTTCACTTGTTGTAACCTTCGTACTAATTTTTGCATATGATGAGACAACAAAAAGAAGTAAAACTACTATAGGAACCAATAAAAAGCTGTTCTTGACGTATGCAACCATTTTTTTTTTTTTTCCAATTTTCTAGAACTTATGTGAGATTATTATAGGGTGAAAACATATCTTTGAATTTAAAAACTAACAGATTTTGTTTGATTTTTGCCGTAAATGCTGCAGATTATGTACCATGAAAAAATGATTTGAATTTAAATTCGAAGATATGATTATGATTCTCCTATCTTTGATTTTTTTTTCCTAATTGTTTTAATTTATTATATCACTAGATAAGGTCCACGTAAATACGGGAGTTCAAATAAATGGAAAAGCTATTAATGTTATTTGAATTCTAAGTAGTAGTCCCCACATTTTTTATAAGATTTAATCTGATAATTTTTATTTTAAACCAGATTTCAGTCTTACAAATAACATTTTTCAATACAATTTGACTGTTTTATTATAATAAACCGAATTTTAATTATATACATTCCATATTAACGAAAAATAGCTAAATATTTTAGATCAAAAAGAATAGATGCATTATATCAAAATTTATTTATTAGTTATATAGTATTAAAACAATTAAAAATTAAGAAAACATAATCGTAAAAAAATAAAATCCACAAAAGAATTTGGAAAACCAACATTGTTTTAAATATAATTTTATATGAACTGTAATCTCATAAGTAATAATTCTATCTCATGTCAAACTAATTTGAAATGATTTTAAAATTATAGAATAAAATATATATTAAAAATTTTAGAAATCCAAATATTATCAAAAGGAAATGTTAGAACTGCCTTCTTTTAAATGCTATTTTCAAAAATGCCCAAATGAAATATACTTAAGCTAACAAATGAAAAATTGAATTTTCCCGTATTTTTTTTTGGCATGAAACGTGATTCCGCAATTTTTGGTTTTAAAAGGATTTACAAAGGTTTTTAAAAGGGAAAAATATCATTTAATTCACCAACTTTCACATTGTGGTCATTTTAAACATGAACTTCATAGTAGGCCATTTTAAACATCAACTAAACGTTGACAGTCGTATTGAACATTAGACTATTATAGGGTGAAAACATATCTTTGAATTTAAAAACTAACATATTTTGTTTGATTTTTGCCGTAAATGTTGTAGATTATGTACCATGAAAAAATGATTTGAATTTAAATTGGAAGATATGATTATGATTCTCCTATCTTTGTTTGATTTTTTTCCTAATTGCTTTAACTTGGTGATGGCACTATGGTAAAGGCTTGGTATGATCCATGGCTTCCATTACACCCACCAAGACCACCTGTTAAGAAAACGAGGGTATACAAGATGCTATGGTCTGCGATTGGTTCAATGAAACAAAAGAAGATTGGGATGTTGAAAAGGTACGAGATTCTGTAGTTCATGAAGACGCTGAAAAGATATTGGCCATAAGATTTGCCCACAAGCGACAGGGGATTTACTTGGTTGGCACTACACAAAAGATGGTTTACATACTGTTAAATCTGAAATTTGGATGAACTCAGAACCGTTTTTCCCCAAACTCAAACACTGAGTATTACTTTATTAGAAATCTGGTTAAGAAATTACAACTCTCTTAACTGGTTTTACACAGACATAAAACTACTTTTAGGTTGTCACCTGAGATTTCTAAGACTCACAAGAGAATTACAAGAACACACTCTATAATCTCTCTTGTAACAAAAATAGAGTAAAGCTTACTCTCTAACAGAACAAAAAAGCTTGCACTACTTTTTTTGCTTCACAAAACGGCTAACCCTAGCAAGAGCCTTAGCACCCCTTTTATATCCACGAGGTCTTCAGATCTTGTAGGTTTAGTCTTCTCGATCTTGGATCTTTCCAAATCTTCATCGAATATCTTCTTGCCAAACTGAACTCATTTTGTTGTGATCACCACGTCATTCATTCATTTGGCGCCAGTACACGTCAACAACAATTACTTGGTCATTACTCATGTATTCAAGAACAACTTCAATCATGTTCC